AGTTTGGGACATGGCCGTTATATTGCAGGTCATATTATAGAACTACTCCACAGACGGTGTTGTAATGACGTATGGCAAACAGTTTTCACATCTATTACCGATTCATTAATTCTTGTCATGATATCAGTAATGTTTTATCGATATCATTATTTATATACTGATATCCTTACATGAAATATCAGTAATTTGATTAATTGAATGACTGGGTGAGTGAGTGAGTGAGTGAGTATAGTTTTACGCCGCTTTTAGCAATATTCCAGCAATATCACGGCGGGGGACATCAGAAATGGGCTTCATACATTGTACCCATGAATGGTATCGAACTCGTATCGACGACGTGACGAGCGAACCATTAGGCTAACACACCGCCCCTTATTGAATAACTGATATGACATAAACGAATTACTGATATATAAAACGAAGGAATTCGTGATATCAGTATTTCAGTTACTACCGCACGTTCCCCAACCAAAATTTCATATTCGCTTATCAACAGACGATTAACAGGGCGGCGAGAACGTACGGTAGTCTTAATAGCCAATTAATTAATGATGAATTGAAATTAAATATGTTATTATCAATTGATGATATCATTAATCCAATTCATAATATCAGTAATTCTAGTTATGATGTAAAACATAGCAACTTTTAATTACATCAGCATCCATGTAACTGATAAAATATCGTAGTTGTGTGTATTATACTGTGTTGGTTTGGTTGGTTGGTTGGTTGTTTGGTTGGTTGTTTAACGCCGCACTCAGCAATATTCAAGCTATATGACGGCGATCTGTAAATTATCGAGTCTGGACCAGACAATCCAGTGATTGACATCATGAGCATCGATCCATGCAATTGGGATACGATGAGATGCATCAACCAAGTCAGCGAGCCAGACCACCCGATCCTGTTAGTCGCCTCTTACGACAAACATAGTCACCTTTTACGGCAAGCATGGGTCATTATACTGTGTTAGTCGTCCTTGGTTGATGTGTTAGTCGTCCTTGGTTGATGTGTTAGTCGTCCTTGGTTGATGTAATAGTCGTCCTTGGTTGATGCGTTAGTCGTCCTTGGTTGATGTGTTAGTCGTCCTTGGTTGATGCGTTAGTCGTCCTTGGTTGATGCGTTAGTCGTCCTTGGTTGATGTGTTAGTTGTCCTTGGTTGATGTGTTAGTCGTCCTTGGTTGATGCGTTAGTCGTCCTTGGTTGATGTGTTAGTCGTCCTTGGTTGATGTGTTAGTCGTCCTTGGTTGATGCGTTAGTCGTCCTTGGTTGATGCGTTAGTCGTCCTTGGTTGATGTGTTAGTCGTCCTTGTTTGATGTGTTAGTCGTTCTTGTTTGATGTGTTAGTTGTCCTTGGTTGATGTGTTAGTCGTCCTTGGTTGATGTGTTAGTCGTCCTTGGTTGATGTGTTAGTCGTCCTTGGTTGATGCGTTAGTCGTCCTTGGTTGATGTGTTAGTCGTCCTTGGTTGTTGTGTTAGTCGTCCTTGGTTGATGTGTTAGTCGTTCTTGTTTGATGTGTTAGTCGTTCTTGTTTGATGTGTTAGTTGTCCTTGTTTGATGCGTTAGTTGTCCTTGGTTGATGTGTTAGTCGTCCTTGGTTGATGCGTTAGTCGTCCTTGGTTGATGTGTTAGTCGTCCTTGGTTGATGTGTTAGTCGTCCTTGGTTGATGTGTTAGTCGTCCTTGGTTGATGTGTTAGTCGTCCTTGGTTGATGTGTTAGTCGTCCTTTTTTGATGTGTTAGTCGTCCTTGTTTGATGCGTTAGTCGTCCTTGGTTGATGTGTTAGTCGTCCTTGGTTGATGCGTTAGTCGTCCTTGGTTGATGTGTTAGTCGTCCTTGGTTGATGCGTTAGTCGTCCTTGGTTGATGCGTTAGTCGTCCTTGGTTGATGTGTTAGTCGTCCTTGGTTGATGTGTTAGTCGTTCTTGTTTGATGTGTTAGTTGTCCTTGTTTGATGCGTTAGTCGTCCTTGGTTGATGTGTTAGTCGTCCTTGATTGATGCGTTAGTCGTCCTTGGTTGATGTGTTAGTCGTCCTTGGTTGATGCGTTAGTCGTCCTTGGTTGATGCGTTAGTCGTCCTTGGTTGATGTGTTAGTTGTCCTTGGTTGATGTGTTAGTCGTCCTTGGTTGATGTGTTAGTCGTCCTTGGTTGATGTGTTAGTCGTCCTTGGTTGATGTGTTAGTCGTCCTTGGTTGATGCGTTAGTCGTCCTTGGTTGATGCGTTAGTCGTCCTTGGTTGATGTGTTAGTCGTCCTTGTTTGATGTGTTAGTCGTTCTTGTTTGATGTGTTAGTTGTCCTTGGTTGATGTGTTAGTCGTCCTTGGTTGATGTGTTAGTCGTTCTTGTTTGATGTGTTAGTCGTTCTTGTTTGATGTGTTAGTTGTCCTTGTTTGATGCGTTAGTTGTCCTTGGTTGATGTGTTAGTCGTCCTTGGTTGATGCGTTAGTCGTCCTTGGTTGATGTGTTAGTCGTCCTTGGTTGATGTGTTAGTCGTCCTTGGTTGATGTGTTAGTCGTCCTTGGTTGATGTGTTAGTCGTCCTTGGTTGATGTGTTAGTCGTCCTTTTTTGATGTGTTAGTCGTCCTTGGTTGATGTTATAGTCGTCCTTGGTTGATGTTATAGTCGTCCTTGGTTGATGCGTTAGTCGTCCTTGGTTGATGCGTTAGTCGTCCTTGGTTGATGTGTTAGTCGTCTTTGGTTGATGTGTTAGTCGTCCTTGGTTGATGTGTTAGTCGTTCTTGTTTGATGTGTTAGTTGTCCTTGGTTGATGTGTTAGTTGTCCTTGGTTGATGTGTTAGTCGTCCTTGGTTGATGTGTTAGTCGTCCTTGGTTGATGTGTTAGTCGTCCTTGGTTGATGCGTTAGTCGTCCTTGGTTGATGCGTTAGTCGTCCTTGGTTGATGTGTTAGTTGTCCTTGGTTGATGTGTTAGTTGTCCTTGGTTGATGCGTTAGTCGTCCTTGGTTGATGTGTAAGTCGTCCTTGGTTGATGTGTAAGTCGTCCTTGGTTGATGCAGGTACAATTTGTATTATGCAGTTGATACATGTGCTCCAAGCTCCGCCGCGAGGTACTAAATTTATTTACAAGATAGTATCAATATTTCGTATCAATAATTATGGTGGTGATATGCAGTTATGAGCCCTGATGAAAGACATGCATGTGTCTCCGGTACGTTTAGTGTTCTAATTGCTTTTCCACGACCACCGTTATTGGTAACATCCTGCAACACCCCATTATTATATTCTAAACTTTAAGGGTTATATAAATATTTGAAAATATCTAATAGTTAATTTCACAACATTCTATTTTACACGCCTTTTGAAATTTAACTGGGTGTATCTACGATGTATGTAACAGTATGTAGTGTTGAACTAACAGACCCCCTTTAAGTGTTTTTGTACATAGACTTATGACCTACATATTTTGACTAACTAATATAACAGAAATAAATGTATATTATAAACCAGAGACCATATAATATGATGTGGTCTCTGTATAAACTGTTATAAAATAACATCGTCATAATTGTAGGGGGGCGGTCGGGTAGTCTAGTGGTTAAAGCGTTGGCTCGTCACGCCGAAGACCCGGGTTCGATTCCCGACATGGGTACAATGTGTGAAGCCCATTTCTGGTGACTCCCGCCGTGATATTGCTGGAATATTGCTAAAAGCGGCGTAAAACCATACTCACTCACTCACTCACTCACTCACTCATAATTGTAGGCGGAGTGATTTTAAGGCCGCTTTGAACAGTATTTAAGTCGCACAACGACTCGCTTGCCGTTCCGCTACTGTTGAATCCATTCGACTGGAGATAGCGTAAGGACACCCGTAAAAAAAACTCGCAATAACTGTTTACCAAGAAGCTTTACATATCTTTTAAATTATGTATGGTATGCATACACGTCCAGCTTTTTAAATTTCAAAACGTTTAGTAGTCTATGTACCTAAAAAAGAAAAGTTAAAACGGTATCTAGGCACACAACCACCCGTAACGACCATTGTTGAGTTGACATGGAGACTGATATTTTCTTTAAAATGTTATCATTTTTATTTGATCATAATTTTTGTTCGTTGATGAAAAGAAAACACTCATGGTTCTTTATTTCTGAAAATAAGCAACTTTCGGTTAAATTAATAATAAACAATAACAATCTGGATCGATACATCATCGATTGGATGAAACGGATACAATCATGGCAACGCGGTAAACTCCACATGCATCGTGATCCCGCTATTACAATCCTTTTAAATATCTAACTTTATTTTCTATAATTATATACATGGATAATTAATTTGGGTAATATTTATCGCCTGTTTATCGAGTTTGTAAATGATTTTATATCAAATTTTCGCTCGCATTAGAAAGAATTACGAATTTAAACTCAGTTAAATTCGAGATACCGGAGATGTAATATGAAAATCTTCTGACTCATCAAAAAGTCATTCTATTTAAATTATTCAGCTTTTGTATTGGTATGTTGTAAGACCAGTCCACTTTGGGATAAAAGGAACAGGTAGGGGACTAGCTGTCCACTGGACCATTAACTTTGTTTTTTTAGTCTGCAGTGATTTTCGCATGTAGTTATTTTGTATGGATACCACTGCATTGTTTACAGCGATTCTCACACAGTAAGCTGGTCCGCCGTGGTATAACTGAACTACTGTCCTAAGCCGCGTTAACTTCAGTCACTTAACTGAACCATGTCCGAATGTCAATAGTTTATTGAAGGTGAGCTTCGGTACCATGTTAATGAGGTGAATCAATCGAACAACCCCCCGCAAAAAAATAAAATAAATAAATAAATAAAATGTACGTAAATTTTCCACATTTTCAAAAAGCCTCTGCACCCCCTCCTGCTTCTATTTCCACTCAAAACACCCGGCATGCTCGCTTGCTAACCCCCATGCACCCCGATTCTAGGTAGATTTTGTATTGAACCATGCTGCCTGTTATTGAGGTCTGATTTATACCCTCTTTTCCTCTCTTGACTGTCCAGGGGCAGAAGACTGCGCGAGACGTCAGTACGCGGAGAACGCTACAGGTGTCGACACACCCCCCCCAGCTCCCTACACCCGGTGCTGCTACATGTTCCCTTAGACATAGAGTCAGCAGGTGCCCGTAGATAGAAGCATTGTGTCTTGAGTCATCAGGTGCCCGTCGACGTACTGAAGTATCCCGGGGAGCAGGTGTGTTCACATGATGGAGGTAAGCATGGTAGAGAAGGGTGTAAGCACATGTTACCACAGACACAAAGAGAGAATCTCACCCTCGTGTCTTTTGATATCAAATATATTAGCACGAGTTGATAAAAGTGGGAAAACTCCGAGGCTTGCCGAGGATTTTTTGCCACTTTTATCAACGAGTGTTGATATATTTGATATCAAAAGACACGAGGGTGAGATTTTATTTATCATCCAACATCATTTTTCCAACTTTTTCAATTTGTAGACAGTAATTAGCAGTGTCTTCAGTGTAAAAAGTACTGCTAACAGATTCAGTAGCAGAGCCATTAGTGATGTCATTTGATTGTGACGTCATGGTAACCGGTGACATCACAATGGTCTGCAAAGCATTGTGATGTAATTTCATTGCAGCGATATCTACAGTGTAGATATCACTTGATCTAATCCAAGCGATATCTCCTGTGGGAGCCAGTTTTGGATGATAAAGGTCAATATATAACACCTGGGCTGTTAAATCCAACTTTTCAGATGATAAGTAAACTAATGCAAATAAATGTTCTTAGGAAGGTTCGTTGCCGAAATATTACTGATCGAATGAGAAGACAATGAATGCGTAAGAAGACTAGGCAATGTTCCCTCGAGAAAAGAGCCAAGATAAAACATCTGTTGCAGTGATAATGGTGACACATTATTTCTAAGTATCAAGGTGGCGGCATATGTATGATTATGATATGATAAAAACATGAATAAAGTAGCGGTATCTCAAATTGAATTCCATATTATAAATATTTGAAACACAAATCACTGATTTTCGTAGATATTAGCATGAAACAACAACTGAACAATAAAGTTAAATTAATTGAGGCCTCGTACATTTGTTTCGCATATAAATACGAAATCTTATGATGAAAACTCCAGATCTTATTTGAATTGTAATCTCACATGTAACAGGAACTCGTGCCATTCCTGGGAAAGACGAATTGCCAATCCTGGTCTTCAAACAAGTTTAAAAAGCTTTTATTGTTCATACGATATATATCGTAATCCAATATGAAATCCTTCAAGAGAGACACGATTTTTCATTCGTTATGTCCGGAATGGCACGAAATGGTCACGAATGGACGTTTCGGCAAAGCAGATGCATAGTTTCGTAAAGCTCTTTACTTACCGATCTGCGGCTAATGCTACTCTTCCACACAGACGACGAATCCCACGAATTGATAAATTTTAGGATTCGTTGTTGAATCGTTATCAGTTCGTGAAATTCTTAACTGATTCGCATATATTCGTAGTTAGTTCTTACAATTCTTGAGCTATCGGGAATTCGTGGCAAAAGCTTTGAGCTGTTCAAGTTTTGGCCACGAACTCCCGATTCAAAAATATCGTAGTTAATTCGTAAGAAAATCGTAATGCATTCTTAGGTATCGTAACTGAATCGTTATCGATTCGTAGGCATTCGTAGGTATTCTTAACTCATTCGGGGATTCGTGAATTCGTGGCTTTACGACGAATCGGCTACGAATCTGTCACGAATCCTACGAATACACGCCGAAGCAGGTATGAAGCTCACGATCCAATCACGAATCAGCTACGATTGCCGGCAAATTGGGTATATAAGGAAATTAACATTGATTTCATGTCATTAGATGCTGACGATTGTTGATACTCCAGTTCCAGGGCTAATAATACAGCTGCTCTATGTTGGACATCTTGAGGGAAAAAAACCCAAATTGTCAAGAATAGTCACGATGTCATGTTTATTCGTACCTTATTCGAACATGCATTCGGCGTACTCTTAACTGATTCGTAACTGATTCCTAACTTTCGTACAGTATTCGTAATAGCTTCTTGTAAATCGTAGCGAATTCTTGAAAATATTCATGCGAATCCAGCCGAATCCCACGAATATTCGTAACTCTATCGTAACTCTATCGTAACTAGATCGTAGAGCGTCACGAATTGAACCAGAATATTTGCTAAATTCCACGAATCCTAAAATTTACAAATCGTGGCGATTCGTGGGATTCGTGCTCTGTGTGGAATAGTAGTATAAGCGATCTTAGCGCTCAATACGATCGTAAGTTTATGTTAAAGTTTGGGAGTAATGACGCTCGCTGACCTAAGTTTTGCTTTGTGAAACGGTACCCCGATTAATGATTCAAACTACTAATGTATCAATCTATTGCGTCATCTCATAACATATTCCTCTTTTGACGAAATAATAAAATAATAAAATGAATATGTATCTTTAAAAATGAAAAGACAAATGTTACTTTCCTAATCACGTTCTCCTAGTTTGGACCGCCGTGATATTGCTGGAATATTGCTAAAAGCGGCGTAAAACCATTTTCTCTCACTCACTCTCCTAGTTTGGTGTGTATTTCTCTACTGAAATAAGTTTAACGACTGGACTTTGACCAAGTGATAACAACGCCCTGCCTAAATTGTTTTATTGTACTACTCGAAAATAACTTTAAAAAATTGGAATTATATTGACGGTGTGTTACCAGTTTGCCTTCAACAATACTGACCCGACCTGTGGACTCTTAAAATATCTTAGAAATATTTTCAAAAAGTTTTGTATGATAAATGAATAGGGAATTTGTGTATTGTCATATCACGTATTGCCATAAGTCTCTGGTATAGGATATTGTAGAAAACGTAGTCCATTAAATGCTCAAATTCCTATAAACGTACACCGGCCTTTGAAATCATCTGCTCGTGGGTGAGTATGGTATTATGCAGTTTTTAGCGACATTCCCGCCATGACTGCGGGTGACCCCAGAATGGGTTCACACATTGTACTCATGTGGGGAATCGAACCCGGACCTTCTGCATGACGAGCGGATCTTCAGCCGTAGGGATACCCCACCGCTACATAATAGTCTTCAAACAGGAACATTGTTGAGTCCTAATTGATGTTCATTTCTACGGATGTGAGACTCCAGGGCACTTGCAGAAAGCGATCTTAGCGCTAAGACTATTGGAAGCCTATGTTAAAGTATGGTAGTTACGATCATCTTAGCGCTAAGATCGCTTTGTGCAAGTGGGCCCAGGTCCCCTGACACTGATGGTGGGCTTCAGGTCAGCCTTACTTGTCAGAATTTGCTGATTCTGGGTTCGAGTCCCGTTATTTTAAAATCTTGCATGCCAGAACTATAACCAAATGTATAACTACACTAAGCCAACTTGTTTTGTCCATGTGCTAGCACCAGAAAGATAAGATGATGCTTGCATGATACAGGTGTGTGGTAATGATGGCTGATGCCGATGGCTGCCATGGCTGTTGTTTTAAGTTGTTGTTTTGTTTTTTTCTTTCCTTTTTCTTTTTCTTCTTAAATGGTGCCTTTACATAGGATGGCGACCTTTGTGCCTCCCTTGTGCGACCATAGAATTTGCCAGGTCGTCGTTGGAGGCTCAAAGGAGGCAGAACGGTTGCCTAGGTCGTTCCAAGGTGGTACACAGGAGGTTCAGACATCGCCATGGACGCCATGGTCGCCGTGAATTTTTGAACATGTTCAAAACAGTCGCACAAAGGTCGCCGATGAGGTTGGTTGCTCAAAGGTGTCTCATAGGAGTCAGAAGGGAGGCACAAGCATTGCCGTTGTTGCAGAATGAAGGCACAGTGATCGCCCAATGGTCGCCAGGTAATAGATGCGTTCTGCTGAAATACTGTCCCGTAAATCTGGGCGATGCTTCTGCCTCCCTTGTGTCTTCTTTGGGCGACCAACAGCGTGCATTGAACGATGAGTATGGCGACCGCCGTGCCTCCCTTCGGCGCCCACGGCAACACTTGAGACACCATGGCAATGCTTCTGCCTCTTTTCTGCCTCCTTTGAGCTACCTGTAGTGCCTCCTCAGCCTGCCTATACATAAACAGAGGGCTTGTACCTGCAGTGTTTCATTGTGGTTGCAGACGTTGAACAACTCGAGCAGTTACTGCTGAACAACTGCTGGAGCAGTTACATAGAAACATGAGTTTCTGGGTTTAGGCGACCATTGAGCGTCCTGGCCAGTTTTTGATCGCTCGAATGTGGCACAAGGTCACAGCCCTGTGTAATGGGGGCTTATTTTTACTGCTGTCGTGTGAAGTACTTGTGGGTGTTTAAAACTATCCCAGTGTGGATGATCTGTCAATCGTCCTTTTATCAACTCAAGGAAATGTTTCCGATGGAATTGACGAATAAATAACTAAAGTTAACTGTTGTGGAATCCCTTAAATGTAATAAATACTATTTGATATGTTCTATTTCATAATCATCCCACCAACATTTTTAAACATATTGTTTCATAGTTTTCTGAGGAAGAAGCTATTTATCAACTACATTTTACAGCTGACACGATTATTGTGAAATTAGAAAATGAAAACAATATTTTGTTTGCAACGCGATATTATATAGACAGATGGAAATGTATAGAAACACACACATTTATAGTTTTGAATCAAACTTGTATTGAGCCGTTATATTTCGACACCGCATTTCAAGATGATAGTATCATCCAAGATCCTCCATTGGATTGTATTCTGTTCTTGCTGCGCTGCTGAAAAGTGCGGCTGTTATACATATAAAAGCAGCACCTTGAGTAGAATGTGCTAACATTGTTGTGCCTGTATGAGAAAAATGTATTCTGTTCTTGCTGCGCTGCTGAAAAGTGCGGCTGTTATACATATAAAAGCAGCACCTTGAGTAGAATGTGCTAACATCATTGTGCCTGTATGAGAACAATGTATTCTGTTCTTGCTGCGCTGCTGAAAAGTGCGGCTGTTATACACATAAAAGCAGCACCTTGAGTAGAATGTGCTAACATCATTGTGCCTGTATGAGAAAAATGTATTCTGTTCTTGCTGCGCTGCTGAAAAGTGCGACTGTTATACATATAAAAGCAGCACCTTGAGTAGAATGTGCTAACATCATTGTGCCTGTATGAGAACAATGTATTCTGTTCTTGTTGCGCTGCTGAAAAGTGCGACTGTTATACATATAAAAGCAGCACCTTGAGTAGAATGTGCTAACATCATTGTGCCTGTATGAGAACAATGTATTCTGTTCTTGTTGCGCTGCTGAAAAGTGCGACTGTTATACATATAGAAGCACCACCTTGAGTAGAATGTGCTAACATCATTGTGCCTGTATGAGAAAAATGTATTCTGTTCTTGCTGCGCTGCTGAAAAGTGCAACTGTTATACATATAGAAGCACCACCTTGAGTAGAATGTGCTAACATCATTGTGCCTGTATGAGAACAATGTATTCTGTTCTTGCTGCGCTGCTGAAAAGTGCGGCTGTTATACATATAGAAGCACCACCTTGAGTAGAATGTGCTAACATCATTGTGCCTGTATGAGAAAAATGGAATGTATTTATGACTCGGTGTACAAGCTGTTCCAAGCACCCTGAGAGAGCTCCTCAGACGGGACAATCTGTGTGTATATCATCCACCCTGATAAAGGTGATAAGGCACACATACCCACATCTGTGTGATCAGATACAAATGTCACAAGGAAGATAACGACAGCAATAAATACATTTATTACTTTCCCGTGAAGAGATCACCCGTTTAATAAACATACAGCTTTATTACACATTGTGTAATACCAAAACGCGTGCTTATGTACTCTCGGAACACGTTTCACGAACAAATAATGAAAGCTCTCAACATCCCTTGGCGTATTCAACGACATTGTGTGTGGAGATGATAGATCACTGGGAGGAGCTTATGCACACACGATGACCCCAGCAACCTTGTTGCTAGGCTGACGTCACATGGTATTGTTTCGCCGATGGATCTTGCAACAAAATTCAACAAATTACGTCATCTTGTATTGTGACGTCATTGTAAACTTTGAGCTGCAAGGCCCCGTTCCACAAGGCGATCGTACTCTAGCGCAACGAGAGTCTTTAGTCTAAGTTAAATTATGTGAGTTGTGATAGCCTTAGCACTACGATAATTTTGTGGGACGAACGCCTGAATTCTAAAGGTGGACCATTGTATGATATTAAATTCATACGTTTCAACTTTTGACGTGTTTGAAGTATTATTCTGTTAAACTCAATTGGATTATGCCATGGATCGTGTAGGTGTCAGCCTATTTACACTCAACAGTATAATTCTAAAAACATTATAAATGACAAGTAATAAATAAAATACTAAACTCGCTCTCGTGTAAAACCAATTTTATGAAACTCGTGAATAGTTGTGGTATCTGACTCGCTTTCGCTCGTCAGATACCAGAACTATTCACTCGTTTCATAAAATTGGTATTACACGGGAGCTCGTTTAGTATTCTATATGTATGCTCGACAGTTGCGTAGACACTAAATAAACATATAACTGGGATGACAATAATTTACTGGCGGAAACAGTAACTTGATTTGAGCTAATAACTGAATATTGACACTAATTTTTTTTATCATAATACTTTGTCATCCGTTAACTCGGTACACTGTTCCACTTGTCAAAATAGACCCGTGAAGATCCGGGGTAGAATAGGTCTTCAGCAACCCATGCTTGCTGTAAAAGGCGACTGTGGTTGTCGTAAGAGGCGACTAACGGGACCGGGTGGTCAGGCTCGCTGACTTGGTTAATGCATGTCATCGTATCCCAATTGCATGGACCGATGCTCATGATGTCAATCACTAGATTGTCTGGTTCAGACTCGATTATTTACAGACCGCCGTCATACAGCTAAACTATTGCTGCTTGCGGCGTTAAACACCCAAAAAACTTTAAAATAGTTCAATGACCCTTAAAGTTGTGTATGTGTTAAGAAGAAAGCCCCAACTAAAATTATTTTCGCTTTCAAACTATACCATATTGCTAATTTGAATTGGAAATAAGGAAGCTTGTATGCAGAACCAGGACACAACATACACGTCCAGGTGGCATGTCAAAGAACACTTGCGTTTCTTTGAAAGTCAATTTAAACCAAACCTTAAAAGTCTTAATAGCCTACGAAGCCAAAATTTTGTCTTAATAATATTCTGATATGATAAATAACCACTTAAAAGTACATACGATATCCTCCATGTGCTTGATTACAACATTATGGTGTTATTTGCCTGCATAAGTCTCGTGTTTAATTATAACATACAGTAAACTACGTTTATTACGAACACGCTTATAACGAACTGACCGATAGAACGAACCTATTTTTTAGTTTCAGCCATTTGTTGTATATATGCTGTATATATGCTTATAACGAACTACAGTTATTACGAACTAAAATTAAGGGTCCCTTTTAGTTCGTTATAACCGTAGTTTACTCTATTGTAATGTGTTAGAAATATTCGTGACAGTAGAAACTGTTGTAAATGTATTTGTAGTGATAGTCAGTGGCAGCGGATTGATTGAAGTGGTAGTAAAATGTCGAGCGCTGTCGGTAGCAGCGAGTGGTTGGAGCTATCTGTCCCTAGTTGATGTTTATGAACATGTCATGCTTGATCATTAACAACAAACAGGAACAGTCAATTCGAACACACTCACTCACTCTTTCAGAAGACACCCCAAGATGTGGCGACTGCGGAAGGGGGCGTGGCTGACTCCGAGACAGGGAAGGAAGGGATGAAGCGCGGCAACTGGGGCGGCAAGCTTGAGTTCATCCTCACCTGTGTCGGCTACGCTGTGGGCCTCGGCAACGTTTGGAGGTTCCCCTACCTGGCCTTCAAGAACGGCGGAGGTACAATACAGAAACCTTATTGGCCTTTCCTGCTTAATCATTGATTATCGAAATCTGGTGAAATTGGGTTTAACGTCGCGTCCAAGATTTTTGCACGTATATAGCGACGTGCATGCCCGTGTGTGTGTGGCTGCTTGTACTAGTCCGGACTGATGCCGATTTATAATGCTGGCTCACTGAGATACCATGCCGCAGTTTAACATGAATACCCCACTCAGACACAGTATACTGACTCCATGTTTTAGCCCCTTAATGCCGAGCGCCAGACAGGGTAACAACAAGTACCATCTTTTAACGTCTTTTGGTATGACGCGGCCGGGTATCGAACTCCGGACCTTCCGCTCTCCGGGCGGACGCTCTACCACAAGACCACGGAGGCGGTCGAAATCTGATAAGATGGAAATGTTACCTTGATATACTGCTTTACTTTTGATAGGGATATTTTAGCCTTCCATGATTCATCTGATCATCATAATATGTTAAGTGAATATCCCTATCATAAGGTGAGTAGTATATGTCAAGATGGATTGCGAGAGATGTATTTCAAGAATTCATGCTACGCCAGTGTAGTGATGGAGCTTCTCCCGCAGAGTGGAAGGTCGGGGTTATATCCTCTGGCTGCCTCGTACCAAAAGACGTTAAAAATGGTACTTGTTGTTACCCTGCCTGACTTTCCGCATTAAGGGGCTAAAACAAGGACTGGTCGGCTCGGAGTCAATTACGTATGTGAGTGGGGCATACATGTGAATCTGCAGCATTGGATCTCAGTGGGCTAGCAATAGAAAACCCACATAAGTCGGGACCAGTGCAAGCAGCCACACACATGTCCATGCACGTCGTTAAATGAGTGAACGAACCTAAAACGCGAGTCTAAGTGCCATTTTCCCGCCTCAAGTAATCATCAGCAAATGTTGTACAGGTGCGTTCCTGATCCCCTACTGGATCATGCAGCTGTTCGTGGGGATGCCTCTGTTCTTCATGGAGCTGTCATTCGGCCAATTCGCCAGTCTTGGCCCCATCACAGTCTGGAAGGTCAACCCTCTGTTTAAAGGTAGTATCACTGCTAACTCATTGTATGGGCCCGTTTCACAAAGCAATCGACCACTATGTACAACTGGGCTCAGGCCTATATTTTGGGAGTTCTTCCATTGTACTGTTATGTAATGTAATATGTATCCTACTTCTTATGTCTTATGTAGTCCGTTGACAAATGCAGCCTACATCTTTTGTAGTCTGTTGGCATGTGTAGCCTACTTCTTTTGTAGTCTGTAGACACATGCAGCCTACTTCTTATATAGTCTGTTGGCATGTGTAGCCTACTTCTTATATAGTCTGTAGGCACGTGTAGCCTACTTCTTTTATAGTCTGTAGGCATGTGTAGCCTACTTCCTATGTAGTCTGTTGACACATGCAGCCTGCTTCTTATGTAGTCTGTTGGCATGTGTAGCCTACTTCTTATGTAATCTGCAGGCACGTGTAGCCTACTTCTTATGTAGTCTGTTGGCATATGTAGCCTACTTCTGATATAGTCTGTAGGCATGTGTAGCCTATTTCTTATGTAATCTGCAGGCAAGTGTAGCCTACTTCTTATAGAGTCTGTAGGCATATGTAGCCTACTTCTTATGTAGTCAGTAGGCACATGCAGCCTACTTCTTATGTAGTCTGTGGGCATGTGTAGCCTACTTCTTATGTAGTCTGTGGGTTTATGTAACATACTTCCTGTGTCGTCTGTGTTGTCTTAAGGTATAATTAAGGTACTTTACCTATTCTTTGTGTGTTATCAAGACAGTAGGTATGTGTAGCGTACTTCATATAAAGTATGTGTTGTCTGTAGGATTATAAATCATACATGTACATGCAGGATCAGGATGGGTGTTACATGTAAAGTAATTGCCATATAGTTTGTGTTATTAAGATAATAGGCATATGTAGCATGCTTCCCATGCAGGCTGTGATAATATTATCGAAGGTATCTGTGACGTCCTTCACTGCAGGGCTCGGCTACAGCATGGTGATCGTGTCGGGGCTCATCGGCGTTTACTACAACGTCATCATCGGCTGGTGCTTCTTCTACTTCTTCTCCTCGATGCAGGGAACGTTGCCCTGGTCTCACTGCAACAATGAATGGAACAGCCCCAACTGCATCGTAGACAGCCGGGTCGCCAACAACTCTAATGCCACCCTCAATATAAGTAGGTACCCACCCTTGTCGTTATCAGTTTGTACCGTTCACCATTGTCTGGGGTAGGAACCACCTTGTCAGTGTGAGAGGGCAGAGTTTAACCATTGTCTGGGGTAGGAACCACCTTGTCAGTGTGAGAGGGCAGAGTTTAACCATTGTCTGGGGTAGGAACAACCTTGTCAGTGTCAGGAGGTAGAGTTTAACCATTGTCTGGGGTAGGAACAACCTTGTCAGTGTCAGAAGGCAGAGTTTAACCATTGTCTGGGGTAGGAGTTTAACCATTGTCTGGGGTAGGAACAACCTTGTCAGTGTCAGGAGGTAGAGTTTAACCATTGTCTGGGGTAGGAACAACCTTGTCAGTGTCAGAAGGCAGAGTTTAACCATTGTCTGGGGTAGGAGTTTAACCATTGTCTGGTGTAGTAACAACCTTTTCAGTGTCAGAAGGCAGAGTTTAACCATTGTCTGGGGTAGGAACAACCTTGTCAGTGTCAGTAGGTAGAGTTTAACCATTGTCTGGGGTAGGAGTTTAACCATTGTCTGGTTTAGGAACAACCTTGTCAGTGTGAGAGGGCAGAGTTTAACCATTGTCTGGGGTAGGAGTTTAACCATTTTCTGGTTTAGGAACAACCTTGTCAGTGTCAGAGGGCAGAGTTTAACCATTGTCTGGGGTAGGAGTTTAACCATTGTCTGGGGTAGGAACCACCTTGTCAGTGTGAGAGGGCAGAGTTTAACCATTGTCTGGGGTAGGAACAACCTTGTCAGTGTCAGGAGGTAGAGTTTAACCATTGTCTGGGGTAGGAACAACCTTGTCAGTGTCAGAAGGCAGAGTTTAACCATTGTCTGGGGTAGGAGTTTAACCATTGTCTGGTGTAGTAACAACCTTGTCAGTGTCAGAAGGCAGAGTTTAACCATTGTCTGGGGTAGGAACAACCTTGTCAGTGTCAGTAGGTAGAGTTTAACCATTGTCTGGGGTAGGAGTTTAACCATTGTCTGGTTTAGGAACAACCTTGTCAGTGTGAGAGGGCAGAGTTTAACCATTGTCTGGGGTAGGAGTTTAACCATTGTCTGGGGTAGGAACCACCTTGTCAGTGTCAGTAGGTAGAGTTTAACCATTGTCTGGGGTAGGAACAACCTTGTCAGTGTCAGAGGGCAGAGTTTAACCATTGTCTGGTGTAGGAACCACCTTGTCAGTGTCAGAGGGCAGACTTTAACCATTGTCTGGTGTAGGAACCACCTTGTCAGTGTCAGAGGGCAGACTTTAACCATTGTCTGGTGTAGGAACCACCTTGTCAGTGTCAGAAGGTAGAATTTAACCATTGTCTGGTGTAGGAACCACCTTGTCAGTTTCAGAAGGTAGAGTTTAACCATTGTCTTGGGTAGGAACCACCTTGTCAGTGTCATTAGGTAGAGTTTAATCATTGTCTGGCGGCACATTCATATGGCACTGTCTGTGTGTAGAATACAATCATACTTACAGCAAACACTGTGTAGTCACAATATGGTTGTATAGCATTGGTGTCATGTTTCTTCCACAGCGATGTACAACACAACCATCTCAGCCAGCGAGGACTACTTTCTGTGAGTATGTCCCTGCACCGATGTGCGGCAAGTCTTATTAATCGAACATGCGTCAATATCTGTTCCACGTTTAAAGACTACGTGCCCTGCAGCTGTCTTCCATTCTACTAAAACACTGAAGAAATCTGGATTCTGATTGGTCAAAGCTAATTTAAAATCTAATTAATTCCCATTAACAAGCCTTTTCACACAAAAACCCATATGAATACGTCGATATTTAGACATTCTTCACACAGATGCGTATTTCAATGTGTGACGATAAGAGCCTAGGAAACATGATGATATCTAATTACCGTATTCGACGTAATAAGCGCCCAGGGCGCTCTCAAAATTAGAAATAGGGAGCTCTTATTAGAATGTTATTTTGGTGAAAAAATATATTTGTTGTTGAGTTGACAGATAAATTTCGTGGTTCATGCTGACAGCCTGAAATGTTTATGTACGACAGATATATTTTTCCAGAATTAAATGCCCATAATTAAGGGTGCATATAACACACGAGTGCGTATTATACGCGAATAAATAAGTCTTGTGTACGTTGATCAATCGGAAGGGGTGCTAATTGGGATTGTTCACTAGCCAATATCTTAGCAAATGTCGCCGTGGGCGCTTATCAGAGCGGGGCGCTTATTACGTCGAATACGGTAAGTAACATATACACCAAATACTGTGTCGGTTGACAATGAAGTGTAACCGATTTAGGTCAAGTTCGGGGAGGAAAGTTGATTATTCTGAATATGTTATACTGTTTCTATAGAATTATAAACCAACTGCTACAATGGTTGAAATTCGGCTATCAAAAGTTTGTTGATAAATAAATCAGCTTCTTTTTTTGTCATCATTTCTGCAGTCTGTTAGCCCCACATTGGAAGGTGGCATGTTGATTTCCAAGAAACGACTTATATATATTCGGCTGAAGCCTCGCCCAATGTTTATTCGGCTTACCTAATATGACACCGTATACGACACCTAAAACACCAAAACTAATATTATGCTAAACCCGCATCTGTACTACAACTATCACTATTGCAACGGGGGCACGGGTGGCCCAGTCGTCTAAGGCGCCGCGATTTGCGGTGCAGAGTTGCGTCCCTTGGGTACGCCAGAAACCTATGATTGTGGGTTCGAATCCCACTTCGCCCCGATTATGTTTCTAGGTTTGTCAGCACCATATCCGTGCTCGTGGGTTTCACCGAAGTGGTAAAAGGCTAAGACCTGCATCACTTCGGGCTTTCCTCCCACATTAAGCTGACACGCCGCGATGTAACTGTAATACTGTTAAAAGGGGCGTTAAAGCCAACTCACTCACTCACTCACTCACTCATTGTTGCGACACTCGGTTTTCAAGGAACGACATGATATAACTCTGCATATGTACTACATTTGGCAGTATCATGACAACATGGGTTATCTCTTGCACAGTGGCTAATACCCTGACACCCGGTGTTTTAGGAATTACGTGCTGAAGATGTCTGACGGGTTGGAGAACATGGGTGGCCTCAACTGGCGCCTTAGTTTGTGCCTGCTGTTGGCGTGGTTTGTTGTCTTCGGAGTACTCATCAAGGGAATCAAGTCACTAGGGAAGGTAGCTGCATATATATGATATACGATTACTTATCGTGAAACCCGTGAAGAACCGGGGTAGAATTGGTCTTCAGCAACCCATGCTTGCTGTAAAAGGCAACTGTGCTTCTCGTAAGAAGCGACTAACGGGTGGTCATGTCATGATGCATATCATCGTATACCAAATGCGTGGATCGATGCACATGATGTCAATCCTTGAATTGTCTGGTCCAGACTAGATTATTTACAGACCGCCGTCATATAGCTGGAATATTGCTGAGTGCGGCGTTAAACAACAAACAAACAAACAAACAAAGATTCGTGGATTCAAACAGTATGCTACTATTATAGGAATGACTATACTGTTTCGTGGTATCTGTGTCTTATACCTGTAAAACTAGGGACCACGGAGTTTTGATTTAACCTTTTTACGAGACGAGTTGGTGTCGAAATTAGTGTTACTTAAGGCTCTGTCATCACGACGTTACAACCTCTTCTATGACATATCAAAGAAAAGAAATTCAGGTCAACGCAGTCTCATGTTATAATATTGCATTCAACCCTGGACTATTCCCTGTCCTAGCCTGACTGTGACTGGTGTGTTCCCTGTCCTAGCCTGACTGTGACTGGTGTGTTCCCTGTCCTTGCCTGACTGTGACTGGTGTGTTCCCTGTCCTAGCCTGACTATGACTGGTGTGTTCCCTGTCCTAGCCTGACTGTGACTTGTGTGTTCCCTGTCCTAGCCTGACTGTGACTGGTGTGTTCCCTATCCTAGCCTGACTGTGACTGGTGTGTTCCCTGTCCTAGCCTGACTGTGACTGGTGTGTTCCCTGTCCTAGCTTGACTATGACTGGTGTGTTCCCTGTCCTAGCATGACTGTGACTGGTAAATTCCCTGTCCTTGCCTGACTGTGACTGGTGTGTTCCCTATCCTAGCCTGACTGTGACTGGAGTGTTCCCTGTCCTAGCCTGACTGTGACTGGTGTGTTCCCTGTCCTAGCCTGACTGTGACTGGTGTGTTCCCTGTCCTAGCCCGACTATGACTGGTGTGTTCCCTGTCCTAGCCTGACTGTGACTGGTGTGTTCCCTGTCCTAGCCTGACTGTGACTGGTGTGTTCCCTGTCCTTGCCTGACTGTGACTGGTGTGTTCCCTGTCCTAGCCTGACTATGACTGGTGTGTTCCCTGTCCTAGCCTGACTGTGACTTATGTGTTCCCTGTCCTAGCCTGACTGTGACTGGTGTGTTCCCTATCCTAGCCTGACTGTGACTGGTGTGTTCCCTGTCCTAGCCTGACTGTGACTGGTGTGTTCCCTGTCCTAGCATGACTGTGACTGATAAATTCCCTGTCCTTGCCTGACTGTGACTGGTGTGTTCCCTGTCCTAGCCTGACTGTGACTGATAAATTCCCTGTCCTTGCCTGACTGTGACTGGTGTGTTCCCTATCCTAGCCTGACTGTGACTGGTGTGTTCCCTGTCCTAGCCTGACTGTGACTGGTGTGTTCCCTGTCCTAGCATGACTGTGACTGATAAATTCCCTGTCCTAGCCTGACTGTGACTGGAGTGTTCCCTGTCCTAGCCTGACTGTGACTGATAAATTCCCTGTCCTTGCCTGACTGTGACTGGTGTGTTCCCTGTCCTAGCCTGACTGTGACTGGTGTGTTCCCTGTCCTAGCCTGACTGTGACTGGTAAATTCCCTGTCCTAGCCTGACTGTGACTGGTGTGTTCCCTGTCCTAACCTGACTGTGACTGGTGTGTTCCCTGTCCTTGCCTGACTGTGACTGGTGTGTTCCCTGTCCTAGCCTGACTGTGACTGGTAAATTCCCTGTCCTTGCCTGACTGTGACTGGTGAGTTCCCTGTCCTAGCCTGACTGTGACTGGTGTGTTCCCTGTCCTAGCCTGACTGTGACTGGTGTGTTCCCTGTCCTTGCCTGACTGTGACTGGTGTGTTCCCTGTCCTTGCCTGACTGTGACTGGTGTGTTCCCTGTCCTAGCCTGACTGTGACTGGTAAATTCCCTGTCCTTGCCTGACTGTGACTGGTGTGTTCCCTGTCCTAGCCTGACTGTGACTGGTGTGTTCCCTGTCCTAGCCTGACTGTGACTGGTAATTCCCTGTCCTTGCCTGACTGTGACTGGTGTGTTCCCTGTCCAGCCTGACTGAGAATGGTGTATGTTGCAGGTCGTCTACTTCACCGCCACCTTCCCCTACCTTCTGCTGACGGCGCTGCTTATCCGAGGTGCAACACTAGATGGAGCCTCAGATGGCATCAAGTTCTACCTGACGCCCGACTGGAGCAGGCTTGCCGACTCAGAGGTGACGATGCTTTAGGTTATATTTGTGCTTCACAAATCAGAAAAGTTTCCATCGTCACTCACACGAATAACTATGAAGTGGGTGGAACAGATTCCACATGATACAGATGCCACCAAAGACCATTTGATAACCCATGAGGATGGGGGAAAGGGATTTAATCGAAAATATAAGCCCCAGAAAATGCTTGAAAAATATAATTATGCTTCAGACCGACGAAAAATAGAAATTGCCTGCCACAAAAATAACATTGTGCGAGAAAAATTTAGGCTGATACTTTTCATAAAAGAGAAGAAAATGAAGAAAAAGGCTCCGTAATTTATATGTTTGGTCAGATTGAACGCCATTGTTCATCTTCATCCTCTGACTATGGCTGCTTCCAGGTGTGGAGTGACGCAGCCACTCAGGTGTTCTACTCCCTTAGTGCCTGTTCCGGGGGCCTGGTACTCATGGCCAGCTTCAACAAGTTCGACAACAATTGCTTGAGGTATGCCTCTAGTATCCCTGTGGGTTCGAATCCCGTATTCGTCCCGATAATGATCCTTTATCTGTCCACATGATTGGGTCTACCAACTGCGATGCTTGGGCTCCCTTCCTCGTAGTAACTGTTCCACGTAGTAATGCCCAACTCTCGAGTTGTTATGGCGTTCATTTCGTTCACTTGACAACCGTTTTTTTCCAAACCCAGGGACGCCTTGATTGTTCCTCTCGTGGATTGTCTCACGAGCTTCTTCTCGGGATTTGTGGTGTTCACTGTGCTGGGGTTCATGGCGTACAACAAACAGGTCAGCGTAGCCGATGTTGCCGCTGGAGGTAGGTGTTGCTGCAGGCAATGGATGTTGCTGTAGGTGAGACAAGTGTTCTCTACTTGTAAGGTAGGTGTTCGCTAAAGGTGACGCAAATACATATTCACTGTTGGTAAGGTAAGTGATCGCTGAAAATGAGGCAAATATTCATCGTTGGTAAGGTAGGTGTTCGCTGAAGGTGAGGCACATGTTCACTGTTGGTAAGGTAAGTGATCGCTGAAAATGAGGCAAATATTCATCGTTGGTAAGGTAGGTGTTCGCTGAAGGTGAGGCACATGTTCACTGTTGGTAAGGTAAGTGATCGCTGAAAATGAGGCAAATATTCATCGTTGGTAAGGTAGGTGTTCACTGAAGGTGAGGCACATGTTCACTGTTGGTAAGGTAGGTGTTCGCTAAAGGTGAGGCACATGTTCACTGTTGGTAAGGTAGGTGTTCGCTAAAGGTGAGGCAAATATTCATCGTTGGTATGGTAGGTGTTCGCTAAAGGTGAGGCACATGTTCACTGTTGGTAAGGTAGGTGTTCGCTAAAGGTGAGGCAAATATTCATCGTTGGTAAGGTAGGTGTTCGCAAATGGTAAGGCATATATTCATCGTTGGCAAGGTAGGTGTTCGCTAAAGGTGAGGCAAATATTTAACGTTGGTAAGGTAGTTGTTCGCTAAAGCTGTTGATAGGTTGGCTGTAGTGAGATGGGTAGGTGTTCACTGTTGATAGACATGAGTTGGCTGTGGTGAGATGGGTAGGTGTTCGCTGTTGATAGTCATGAGTTGGCTGTGGTGAGATGGGTAGGTTTTCGCTGTTGATAGACATGAGTTGGCTGTGGTGAGATGGGTAGGTTTTCGCTGTTGATAGACATGAGTTGGCTGTGGTGAGATGGGTAGGTGTTCGCTGTTGATAGACATGAGTTGGCTGTGGTGAGATGGGTAGGTGTTCGCTGTTGATAGACATGAGTTAGCTGTTGTGAGATGGGTAGGTGTTCGCTGTTGATAGACATGAGTTGACTGTGGTGAGATGGGTAGGTGTTCGCTGTTGATAGTCATGAGTTGGCTGTGGTGAGATGGGTAGGTGTTCGCTGTTGATAGACATGAGTTAGCTGTTGTGAGATGGGTAGGTGTTCGCTGTTGATAGACATGAGTTGACTGTGGTGAGATGGGTAGGTGTTCGCTGTTGATAGTCATGAGTTGGCTGTGGTGAGATGGGTAGGTTTTCGCTGTTGATAGACATGAGTTGGCTGTGGTGAGATGGGTAGGTGTTCGCTGTTGATAGACATGAGTTGGCTGTGGTGAGATGGGTAGGTGTTCGCTGTTGATAGACATGAGTTAGCTGTTGTGAGATGGGTAGGTGTTCGCTGTTGATAGACATGAGTTGACTGTGGTGAGATGGGTAGGTTTTCGCTGTTGATAGACATGAGTTGGCTGTGGTGAGATGGGTAGGTGTTCGCTGTTGATAGACATGAGTTGACTGTGGTGATGTGGGTAGTAGTTCTCTGTTGATAGACATGAGTTCGCTGTGGTAAGATGGGTAGGTGTTCGCTGTTGATAGACATGAGTTAGCTGTGGTAAGATGGGTAGGTGTTCGCTGTTGATAGACATGAGTTAGCTGTGGAGAGGTGGGTAGGTGTTCGCTTTTGAAAGACATGAGTTGGCTGTGGTGAGGTGGGTAGGTGTTCGCTGTTGATAGTCATGGGTTGGCTGTGGTGAGGTGGATATGTGTTCGCTTTTGAAAGACATGAGTTGGCTGTAGTGATGTGGGTAGGTGTTCGCTTTTGAAAGACATGAGTTGGCTGTGGTGAGGTGGGTAGGTGTTCGCTGTTGATAGTCATGGGTTGGCTGTGGTGAGGTGGATATGTGTTCGCTTTTGAAAGACATGAGTTGGCTGTAGTGATGTGGGTAGGTGTTCGCTTTTGAAAGACATGAGTTGGCTGTGGTGAGGTGGATATGTGTTCGCTTTTGAAAGACATGAGTTGGCTGTAGTTATGTGGGTAGGTGTTCGCTGTATGTGGACAGGAGATAAAAATATATGAAGTGCCAGAAACCTATGATTGTGGGTTCGAATCCTGATTCGCCCCGATTATGTTTCTTGGTTTGTTAGCATCCTACCCGTGCTCGTTGGTTTCACAAAAGTGGTAAACGTCTAAGACCTGCATCACTTCAGGCTTTCCTCCCACATTAAGCTGACATGCCCTGATATAACTGGAATACTGTTCAAAAACAGTGTTAAACCCAACTCAATCACTCAATCATAAGACTGCTATGTGAAATAGTAGTCAGGAGATAGATGTTAATTTGATATGAAATTATCAACAAACTCTTTACAAGTACCAGGTAAAGTTTCTTCGTTAACTCTTTAGAGGTATACTCAGACTTATGTTAGTATCAGTGAGTTTATTTTCGAATTATACATTTGATAAGGTGCTGCTACCTTTCTCAAGAAGGCATCTCATTGCCGTACTTTGTGAACTTTATCAGCGGTCAACAGCGTCTTCCTACTTTGTTCATGAAGTGAAATCTCCAGGATGTAATATTACATCTGTTATGCAAAGACGAGAAACGTGAAGCCCAGTGGTCAAAGGCTGTTTCATTCACAGTCAAGTCCCGTTAATACGACAGTTGTCTTTATCCGACACTAATGATGGGAACCGATTAAATCAGTGTTATTTAAACCCGTTAATCCGACAGATTCGCACTCCGTCTCCGACACAGCTAGTTTGCAACAAATTGCTGAAATCTCTCATTAATTTCGTTAAACCGACACAGTGTACTTTGAAGGCTTACGCCCCTTGGTAGCTGCAGGATCTGCTGGTCGTGACTATTTAATGAACTTGGGTTGTCAGCACCAACCCACATGGGTTTAAACAAATTGGTTCACGGTTGTGACCTTCGTCACTTTGGCCTAATCTCTTACATTAAGATGACGTCAAACATAACTCACTCACCCGTGACAACGAAATGTCATTGTCCACCACTTACTATTACTTACTAACGTTTCTTTGACAGGTCCAGGTCTGGCATTCGTGGCCTACCCAGAGGCTCTGGCCAGCATGCCGGCCCCCACCGTCTGGGCCATCCTGTTCTTCTTCATGATGGTTATCATCGGGTTCAGCTCTCAGGTCAGAACTGACTCTACAATGGGAAGGATCAACGGGCCATTTTACATGACATTGCACGTTATGAGTTACCCTACCCAGACGGTGTTCAAAGTATCGATCACTGGTTTGCCTGGTCGAGACTACACACAGGCTGTCGTAACATATATTTAATTTGAATTCTAGCAGGTAAGGACCGCCTCAGTCGTCTAGTGGTAGAGCGTCCGCCTTGAGAGCGGAAGGCCCGGGGTTCGATCCCCGGCCGCGTCTTACCAAAATACGTTAAAAGATGGTACTTGTTGTTACCCTGTCTGGCGCTCGGCATTAAGGGGCTAAAACAAGGACTGGTCGGCTCGGAGTCAGTATACTGTTTCTGAGTGGGGTATTCCTGTTAAACTGCGGCATGGTATCTCAGTGAGCTAGCACTATAAATCGGCACCAGTCCGGACTAGTACAAGCAGCCACACACACACACACACACACACGTGCATGCAAATCGCTATATAAGTGCAATAATCTTGGACGCGACGTTAAACCCAATTTCACCTCACCTCTAGCAGGTAAGGGGTAATCAGAGTTGAATGACTTGTGACAAGCATGTCATGTCTATTACCTGATCTTACAAGCAGTTGATTGTCTGATCAGCTTGATTTTATGACGAGTGATAATATTGGTGGTTTTTTTCTGTTTCAGTTCTCCATCATAGAAACAATCATCTCGTCCATCTCTGACGAATACGACTGGATACTCCGGAAAAGTTTCCGGAACTCCACCCTCTTTCGCGTGTCTCTTTGTGTCGCCTTCTATCTCATGGCTTTGCCTATGACTACAAACGTGAGTACAATTAACTACGGTTATAACGAACTCAAATGGACTACTTATTTAAGTTCGTTATAGCCGTAGTTCGTGATAAGCATACATGCATCTATACAGCAAATGGCGGGGACAAAAATAAGTTCGTAATATCCGTAAGTTCGTTATAAACGTATTTTACTGTACTTGAAGAATGCACATGAAATATGGTCTGCAGTCCGCTTCCCTCTTGAGATTGTCTGTGTCGTATTTTACCTGTGCACATGACTTTAAATGTGAGTACTTGAAAAGTGCACAAGAAATATGGTCTGCAGTCCTCTTCCCTCTAGAGATTGTCTGTGTCGTATTTTACGTGTGCATATGGCTATAAATGTGAGTACTTGAAGAGTGCACATGAAATATGGTCCACAGTTCTCTTCCCTCTAGAGATTGCCTGTGTCGTATTTTACCTGTGCATTTGACTATAAATATCAGTACTTGAAGAGTGCACATGAAATATGGTCCACAGTCCTCTTCCTCCTAGAGATTGTCTGTGTCGTATTTTACATGTGTTCTGGCATAGTGCAAGTTGATGAGTAACAGGAGACCTCATTGTTTGTTATTGGAGACACACGCATAACAAAAACTTTGTCGAATGTATAATAATCCATTAAAGTAACAATCAAGTTACTGATATATTTCTCACTGTTTAATAAGTTTGTTTGTTTGTTTGTTTGTTGTTTAACGCCGCACTCAGCAATATTCCAGCTAACTGACGGCGGTCTGTAAATAATCGAGTCTGGACCAGACAATCCAGTGATTGACATCATGAGCATCAAAACGATGACATGCATCAACCAAGTTGCCTCTCGCGACAAGCATAGTTGCCTTTTACGGCATGCATGGGTTGCTCAAGGCCTATTCTCCACCTGGATCTTTACGGGTGGTTTGATAAGTAATTCAAAATGGCTTAAAACATAAAATGAACAAAAATAAGCGGTTAGGCAATAATCCCTTTCAGTATCAGCTCCCTGGGGAGAATACAACCCAAGGTTAACAGTTACATTACCATCTCATCCTACCTGGTACCATTTCACTGCTGAAGGAACAGAGGCATATATCGAACAAGGTCACTTAGGAGACACCACAGGTAAAATGTGCTTAAATGCGGGGCAGGACCGAAGCCCTAGGAACTCTCAGGAGTCAAGCTGCCGAACACGGTCACCCATCCACCTACTCTCCGCGGCCACCGTTGCTTAATTTCGCGTGATTTGTGACCTGTGCGCTGAACACAGGACCACATGCCACCACCAAGCAGTATCAGACTACAGAGGCGTCGCGTTTACGTATTTTGGGGTTGTATGCTCAACAAAATACGCGAGGGATCATGACCTATTATACCTTACACATTTAGATGAACTCATTCTCACCACAAAAAAATATCAAAAAATTATTCATGACCCCAACATATTTTGTTCAGTATACAACCCCAAAATACGTAAACTTTAAACAAGACGACTTTAATTGTATGGCATACAAGGCGTTTTACCGAATGCTTATTGTGATATATGTTTTTGATATATAGGGCGGAATGTACCTCTTGGAGCTTGTAGACAGCACCGTCAGCGGCTTCCCGCTCCTATTTGTCGGCTTGCTGGAGTGTATGGCCATCAACTACGCCTACGGTAAATGCTTGTTTTGTGGACATGAACACATCCTCGTCTTCACATCATGTAAGAGATAGACCGCGTCCGTGGTCTAGTGGTAGAGCGTCCGTCCGGAGAGCGGAAGGTCCGGGGTTCGATCCCCGACCGCGTCATACCAAAAGACGTTAAAAGATGGTAATTGTTGTTACCCTGTCTGGCGCTCGCCATTAAGGGGCTAAAACAAGGACTGGTCGGCTCGGAGTCAGTATACTGTGCCTGAGTGGGGTATTCATGTTAAACTGCGGCATCATCGGGTATCTCAGTGAGCTAGCACTATAAATCGGCATCAGTCCGGACTAGTACAAGCAGCCACACAAACCCACACACGTACATGCACGTCGCTATATAAGTGCAATAATCTTGGACGCGACGTTAAACCCCATTTCACCTCACCTCACCGTAAGAGATAACACTATCATTATTTAACCCCTCAGACAAGATCCTTATAAGCCTGTCACCCTATTACCCTATACTGCTTAAGGTTCCTGACAATCTGGGAAGTAAATCAGTAACCAGCTCATCTTCCAATGCACAAAGGGTCACTTCTAAAACTGATTTTAGTCTTTACAATACAGTTGTAATACCCAGCTTTTACAATTGACGTTTTATGTACTGGCCTTTTGGATATATATATATAATGTTGATTTTTGGTTGGTTAAAAGTCATTTTTTACATGAAAATTTCTTGACGTGAATCGAACCTGCAACCTCACATGTCATGCTAAGTTTTGTAACCTACTGTTATCCCACTGAGCTACCAAGGCAGGTGAAGAACATTTCAATTTTACATGTCATGACTCCAGTTGGTCCATGCTGCACATGTTTTTTCTCTTGCACACTTTGATCGAATTCCTTTTATACCGCGACACACTGTATTGTTTCACTATAAGGTATCTCGATGTTTTCTGATTTTACTAGTATTTCTTGCATTTAAGTTTGGGTCAAACACGACTCCGAGGTTTTGTTTGAAAATGTTACCCATCGGGCTTTTCCCTCGCTCGCGGCTTTACCATTTCAATCGAAACCCCCGAAAGACAACCGCATTTCTACTCCCCCAAACAACCCCTCCAATATCTACTCCTACAGAAACCCTAAATACTAGTATCTTTCCCGATAAAAACCTATTCAGGATCTACAGCCAAAGACAATCCCATATCTTCTCCCAAAGTAAGTCTTTCAATATACACCTTGTCTCGTCTGTCAAAGTTGCACTCTTCCACCATTGATGTAACAATTCGAAACGTCAAAGCCAAATAAATTTCTGCCGAAACCGATTCCATTTGTCATATGAAAAATATATGAACGGGTCACTGAAAATCAGTGATTGCACCCAATTCTTGCGAAAAAAATAGGGTAAGCATGTCCTTCTCTACTGGCAGCTACCTTCACAATTTTGAAAAAAAGGAGTAAGTGTGGTGTTTGTTTCCTAACGCCGCACCCAGCAATACTCCCGCTATACCAAGTCTGCCCGTAATAATCAAGTCTGGACCAGACAATCCAGAGATCAGCATCATGCGCAATGACCCACGCCGTTGGGGTACGACGCAACGCTTGTAACCAAGTCGCCAAGCCTGACTACCCGATCCTTTAAAGTTAGAAAACATACCAGCCGATAGGGCGAAGGAATTGTTTGTATGTCACAATGGAATGGAATTCTCTGACTATGCGGTGTCTGCTGCAGGTTACAGTCGGTTCTCCGAGGACATCTCCATGATGCTGGGGAAACGTCCGTCCATCTACTGGAGGTTCTGCTGGTGCTTCATGACCCCCGCAATGTTGTTTGTAAGTGTCTGCGTTAGATTATGGCGCCATCTTTTTGCTTGTGGGTGTCTGCTTTAGATTATGGCGCCATCGTGTTGTTTGTGAGTGTCTGCGTTAGATGATTACGCCATCGTGTTTTTTGTGAGTGTCTGCGTTAGATGATTGCGCCATCGTGTTGTTTGAGAGTGTCTGCGTTAGCTCATAGCCTCGCCATGTTGTTGGTGAATGTCTGCGTTGGACTATGACCCCGTCATGTTGTTTGTGAGAGTCTGCGTTGAATTGTGACCCCGTCATATTGTTTGTGAGAGTCTGCGTTAGACTATGACCCCGTCATGTTTTTTCTGAGATTCTGCGTTGAATTGTGACCCCGTCATGTTGTTTGTGAGAGTCTGCGTTCGACTATGACCCCACCATGTTGTTTCTGAGATTCTGCGTTGAATTGTGACCCCGGCATGTTGTTTCTGAGATTCTGCGTTGAATTGTGACCCCGTCATGTTGTTTGTGAGAGTCTGCGTTAGACTATGACTCCGTCATGTTGTTTGTGAGTGTCTGCGTTAGCTCATAGCCCTCGCCATGTTGTTTGTGAATGTCTGCGTTAGATTGTGACCCCGGCATGTTGTTTGTGAGAGTCTGCGTTAGACTATGACTCCGTCATGTTGTTTGTGAGTGTCTGCGTTAGCTCATAGCCCTCGCCATGTTGTTTGTGAATGTCTGCGTTAGATTGTGCCCCCACCATGTTGTTTGTGAGATTCTGCGTTGAATTGTGACCCCGGCATGTTGTTTGTGAGATTCTGTGTTGAATTGTGACCCCGTCATGTTGTTTGTGAGAGTCTGCGTTGAATTGTGACCCCATCATGTTGTTTGTGAGAGTCTGCGTTAGATTCTGACCCCATCATGTTGTTTGTGAGAGTCTGCGTTAGATTCTGACCCCATCATGTTGTTTGTGAGTGTCTGCGTTAGATTCTGACCCCATCATGTTGTTTGTGAGAGTCTGCGTTAGACTCTGTCCCCAACCTGTTGTTTGTGAGAGTCTGCGTTAGATTCTGACCCCATCATGTTGTTTGTGAGAGTCTGCGTTAGATTATGACCCCATCATGTTGTTTGTGAGAGTCTGCGCTAGACTCTGACCCCATCATGTTGTTTGTGAGAGTCTGCGTTAGATTCTGACCCCTCCATGTTGTTTGTGAGAGTCTGCGTTAGATTCTGACCCCATCATGTTGTTTGTGAGAGTCTGCGTCAGATTCTGACCCCTCCATGTTGTTTCTGAGAGTCTGCGTAAGATTCTGACCCCATCATGTTGTTTCTGAGAGTCTGCGTTAGATTCTGAACCCATCATGTTGTTTGTGAGAGTCTGCGTTAGATTGTGACCCCATCATGTTGTTTGTGAGAGTCTGCGTTAGATTCTGACCCCATCATGTTGTTTGTGAGAGTCTGCGTCAGATTCTGACCCCTCCATGTTGTGTCTGAGAGTCTGCGTTAGATTCTGACCCCATCATGTTGTTTGTGAGAGTCTGCGTTAGATTCTGACCCCATCATGTTGTTTGTGAGAGTCTGCGTTAGATTCTGACGCCATCATGTTGTTTGTGAGAGTCTGCGTTAGATTCTGACCCCATCATGTTGTTTGTGAGAGTGATAGTGTTCAAGTCTATCCAGTACACCCTATGTTGCAGACAGTGGTAGTGTTCAAGTCTATCCAGTACACCCTATGTTGCAGACAGTGGTAGTGTTCAAGTCTATCCAGTACACCCTATGTTGCAGACAGTGGTAGTGTTCAAGTCTATCCAGTACACCCTATGTTGCAGACAGTGGTAGTGTTCAAGTCTATCCAGTACACCCTATGTTGCAGACAGTGATAGTGTTCAAGTCTATCCAGTACACCCTATGTTGCAGACAGTGATAGTGTTCAAGTCTATCCAGTACACCCTATGTTGCAGACAGTGATAGTGTTCAAGTCTATCCAGTACACCCTATGTTGCAGACAGTGATAGTGTTCAAGTCTATCCAGTACACCCTATGTTGCAGACAGTGATAGTGTTCAAGTCTATCCAGTACAAGCCACTGAAGTACGGCGACTACGTCTATCCGGACTGGGCGCAGGCTTTGAGCTGGCTGGTGGCTCTCTTCCCCATCGGCGCTATCCCCGGATGGTTTCTCTTCTACTTTCTTCGGAACGGCGGCTGGGATGTAAGCATCGAGGTTACATACCTGGGCCCGGTTGTTGAAAACCCGGTTAAGTGTTAACCAGCCGTTAAGTCAGTGTTAACTCTCCGTAAAATGTAACCAAATGGTTATGTTGTTTCTCAAAGCATGGTTAACTTTAACGAGTGGTTAAACAGACAGGGTAACAACAAGTATCATCTTTCAACGTCTTTTGGTATGACGCGGCCGGGGATCGAACCCCCGATCTTCCGCTCTCCGGGCAGACGCTCTACAACTAGACCACGGATGCGGTATATTCGTACCAGGAATCTCCACACTTGGACCCGTGAAAATTCGGGTCAGAATTCATCTTCAGCAACCCTTGCTTGTCGTAAAAGGCGACCATGCTGGTCCGGATCGGGTGGTCAGGCTCGTTGACTTGGTTGATGCATGTCATTGTATCCAAGTTGTGCAGGTCGATGCTCACGATGTCAGTCACTAGGTTGTCTGGTCCTGACTCCTGTCCTGATTATTTACAAATCGCCTTCATATTGCTGAAATATGGCCGAGTGAGGCGTTAAACAACAAACAAACGAAAAATATATAATGACTTGACCAGCTTGGCCTTCCAGCAATATTGTAACATGGCACATTCGGCGACTGGAAACATATTTATAATAAATGCATTTATTTGATTTTCACCCCTTCAGAACATGTTTGCGTTTAACATCTGACGTGTACGATGTTGCAGCTGATGAAGCAGCTGTCTATCCCACTCCCAGGATGGGGCCCTGCTCTTGAACAGAACCGGAAGTTCCGGTACGCAGGAACACGTGAGCTTGCGCAGATCGCGATCCAGAAAGACGCTGATGACGAGAGGGACGTAAGTCGCGAAATGGACGGGTACGATCCGAAGACTGGTGGTCAGGAAAGACTCAGGTTTGACAAGAAGGATGATGGACAGGACAATCTGGGGTATACCAAGGAGGACGAGCCCCCTTCTTACCAGGAGACATTCACCAAGATGTAAGGGATGTCCCACCATGTTATCGGGGTTGCTGAACTTTTTGAATACCAGCTGAATTACTTTCTTGATAAAAGTTGAATGGACGTGGACATTGTAGATTGCGTTTGCCATTAAGCCAGCCTCCGGCAGGGGGATATATAGCAGTGTTGCGCCTCTAAAGAACGACCACCTTATTCTTGATTCTTCTTTTTCTGAACTTTTTATAGCCATTTTTGTACAAACTTGTATTCACGTCTTATTGTTTTAATACCTTTGTAATGAGGAACTCTTCTACCACTTAACGATGTGACATCACATCATTTTTGATTACGCGTGCATATATTACATATATCTGTTTTGGTGTGTTTGCTTGGAATAATATGTTTTATAATAATGATTTGTTTTAAATAATTTCGTTTAGAATATGGTATGTGGACATTTGCAGAAATATTTATAACCAGCTCTTGCAAAAATGTATTTACGTCTTATTGCTGTTTTATAATCAATCATGTTGTATAACTTCACTGAAGAGGCCTCAAGGCTGTAGTACACATATATTATATCAGAGTAATAAAGTCTATAGAGTGGCATCATAAATAAACATTGACAATTGTTGCAAAATTACGCTGTAATAGGAATGTAACAGAGATTCAAATTTAAAGACACTGGAATGGATAAGGTAATATTCTCATATACACTTGTTTCTTTAATTATGCATAGTCCAGACATACAAGACTCTACTGTATTTATGCGAAGAATACCTTTATCTAAATCCATTCAATATTTCTTTACAATTAAAACAGATGAATAATGTTCAGTGTATATATGCGTTTTCCACAGCCTATTAGAACTGCATTTGTTTGATACTATTAAAGATTTTGTAAATATATTGCCTTAAATCTTTGTGTTATTTACATAATTTATACAGAATAGGATTCTACATATTGATCATTCAAAACATATCCTACTTTATACAAAAAAAATCAAAATTGTTTAGTCTAAGCCCTAGCTCCGTGTAGTTATATTCCACTTATATTAACGAAATACCTTGAATATATCCATAAACACCTGTTGTGCTTGCACTGATTGTCAATTTGTCTCTGTAGACCATTAATAGTACTAGAAAAGAAATAATGTCAATTGCAAAGATAAGTAAGAACAACTGTGTAATACTTGGATGTAACTGAATACCATTTGTTCCCTGTTGTGTACAGCAATGCCATATGGATGTAATAACAAAATAAAAGACGTTGGCACTCTTTCTAAGCAAGGAACTGCCAACGTCAATGAACTGAGTCTGTTTCCGGCATCTCACAGACGTCGACGCAGCCATGGAAAGAAAGGACGAAGGCCAAATGACGCCTTCGTTTGGAAGGTTTTTTGTCGCTCCTTCAGGAACCATTGGGACTTTTACAAAGTAAGAACAAGACTATACTCTGTGTCACTGAAAGAAATTAGTAGACTCCAGCAACTTTTGCAAATGGGTGGGTCTTCAAACAAAACGGCCCACAGTATCGACGAGAGAGTGTGGTTCTTGTTATCGCTTTGAAACGTTTGGCCTAACCAGAAACAGACTCCACTAAATCAGACAAAGACATCATGTCCTTGAATTTGAATTTGCAAACAAGGGAATTGATATCTTAAATTTAAGAAACATTCTCAGACAAAAATCAGTTTCCCCAAAAGTCCCGCATTATTTCAAATTTCAGGAACCATCAACAATTTCATTTTCCTATACGAACACAATTTTATCCAGGTTGTTCAATTATAGGAACGTGTTGCAGAATATAAATTCTACTACTTGTCGCTGCCAAGCCTCATCATACTTCTGTCAACCTGTAGGTCATAATTGCAGGTGACTTTTCTATTGTTGACAATAACAACCTTCGTCCGTTATTCAGATATGGACCAAAATACTGTGAGCACCCTCCTACCAATTGGGATCACAACTTTAAAATCATTATGGATGCTGTCGAAGAATGTGCCAACATATTGGGCCAAAAGAGAAGAGGAACCTGTTGAACGTTTCAGAGTGGGTTTCAGTGCGTGATGTGGTCATAGGTAGAAAGCGACAAACATAAAAAGAAGAAACCGAATTGAAATAAACCCATTGTGTCCCAGCCAGCTGTCATCCACAGTCTGGCTGCACTACATGCAACATTTGTAGTTGTTCCCCCTGATGAAGCCTCAAGTAACATAACCATTATATGTAATCACTACATTAATTGTTTGATGAAAGAACTTGATATCAATGACATATCAAATAATGCTACATATAAGGCCAGTATCTTACCTGAGGAAGAAATCTGCCAAAACCATTTATCAGTTCTGTCAACTTTTGACTTGACTCTAAAACCTGAAGACATGTCTATTCCTCGTTTGTACTGAATTACAAAGCTCCGTAAAAAATCCATACAAGGAGAGATACATGTATATTGCCGTGTCCAGCAAATGTACCACTAAATCCCTGTCTCAAAGACTATCCATAATCCTTAATACAATCAATTCTTTATATTCACAGAAAGTATTTGAGACAAGTGGAATTAATATCATGTGAATTTTCAAAAACTCAAAGAATGTGCTTAACATTTTTGCTTAACAATCTCAGAAAAGAACCAAGTTCCTTTCTATGAAAACATTTGATTTTTCAACTTTGTACACCACTATCCCATATGACAAACTTAGGGAAAATATTCATAGCTTGATCCATGGGGCTTTTGTAACCAAAGGTTGTTACCACAGATACAGTTACGTATCTTTATTCAGAGGTTCAGGACAATTTGTAAAAAATGAAAGCAAATGCCATCTGAAGTTTACTGAGAAAACAATATGTGAAATGCTGGACTTCCTCACTGACAACATATACGTAAAATTTTGGGGTAAGACATTTCGGCAAGAAATAGGCATCCCCTAGGGCACAAATTGTGATCCCCTTCTTGCGTAACTGTTTCTTTATGCATATGAATCGGAATGTCTGTTGGGATTGGCAAAGTCAAAACAAGGTAATGTGGCCAAGAAGTTTAGCCTAAGCTTCAGGTATATGGATGATCTGATATCGTTCAATAACAATCACATAGCCAATTCCCTTCCCCTGATTTACCAACCTGAACTAGAAACATAAGAGACCAATGAGGCCGCCCCATCTGTTTCACATTAGCCACCATCAAATATAGGTGTACTTTTTTTTGCCCGGTAGTTAACATCACGGCGACCTATATAGTCGTATCTGGGTCAGCGGTTGATATTATGAGCAATGTTCAACGCCGTCGGGGTACGATGACACGCAAGTCACCGAATCTGACCATCCGATGTTCTTGATTCGCCTCTTAAGACACACAATAGAGCGCTGTCGTACAATACCGCCATGTTCTATTTATTTATTCATTCATGTTTTACTTCACATACTGCTGTGCCGGCCTGACATACAGTATAGTTCTGTTGTGCCCTGACCTAAACCAGCTTGTGGGTATCCGTCCCTATGTTTCCGCTGCTGTTGTTAGATTATCTCCAGATCTACCACAAAGGTATCTCAGGGGTGTTTTTTTTTTTCTGAACGCAGTTGATAATAGTGATCTGGGTGTTATTGGAAAGATTTGGTCATTTGCTGTTTATAAGTGAGATATCCCAAGAAACACTGCATTGATTGGATTAAAGTTTGGAACCAAAGTTTGCACACTACAGTCGGTAATGGTGACCTTGACATTTCCTTCAAGGTCACATGAAGCATTTGACCAATTTCCTGTTTGTTGCGTGAATGCCTCTTATGCAGTACCGTATTACATACTGGGAGTTATCTCCCTTAGACTCATGTCTGTAAGTCGGTCGCCATTAAAGTGAGTTGGGCTACAAAACACGTGTCTATGTTTTGCTGGCTATTACATTGCACAGAGCATTTAACACTGTTTTAGCGAGAAATCTCAATAAACAACGTATGGGTGTTATACATAATGTGTTCAAAGTCAACAATAGATGACACCACGGACTTGAATATCATATAAATAATTATTTAGGTCCGTGGTGAAACCAGAGGAATATGATCACCTTGGCTTCTTTTCATGGTCACTTGGAGCTTTTCTCCGTTTGCTGTTTGTTCGTGAAATATCTATGGATATACTGCATAGAATAAATTCATTTTGAGTGGGAAGCCATATTAGGAGATTTGCGACCAGGCTTAGTGGTGAAAAACCTTGACCACATTATCGAGTCAGTTTTACAGATAACGATTGACTTCTTTGCATTTTTGTTTATTTGTTGTTTAACGCCGCACTCAGCAATTTTCAAGCTATATGATGGCGATATGTAAATAACCGAGTCTGAACCAGACAATCCTGTGCCTCACATCATGACTATCTACACATATGATATATATCAACCAAAACAGCGAGCCTGATCACCCGATCTTAGGACAAGCATGGGTTGTTGATGACCAATTTTAACCCGGATCTTCCCGGAGATTGGATTTTGTACTGGTTTACTTATCGTTGCTTCATGTGGGTGACATTATCACGATAATACCCTAAAGTTGTTAGCAGGTATGCTTCTTCTCCCAATGGTTCCCTGTACCCTCTATATAGATTTAGCTTCAGATGTGGTCATAGGTAGAATGTACCGGCCTGACATACAGTATAGTTCTGTTGTGCCCTGACCTAAACCAGCTTGTGGGTATCCGTCCCCATGTTTCCGCTGCTGTTGTTAGATTATCTCCAGATCTACCGCAAAGGTATCTCAGGGGTGTTTTTTTTCTGAACGCAGTTGATAATAGTGATCTGGTTGTTATCGGAAAGATTTGGTCATTTGCTGTTTATAAGTGAGATATCCCAAGAAACACTGCATTGATTGGATTAAAGTTTGGAACCAAAGTTTGCACACTACAGTCGGTAATGGTGACCTTGACATTTCCTTCAAGGTCACATGAAGCATTTGACCAATTTCCTGTTTGTTGCGTGAATGCCTCTTATGCAGTACCGTATTACATACTGGGAGTTATCTCCCTTAGACTCATGTCTGTAAGTCGGTCGCCATTAAAGTGAGTTGGGCTACAAAACACGTGTCTATGTTTTGCTGGCTATTACATTGCACAGAGCATTTAACACTGTTTTAGCGAGAAATCTCAATAAACAACGTATGGGTGTTATACATAATGTGTTCAAAGTCAACAATAGATGACACCACGGACTTGAATATCATATAAATAATTATTTAGGTCTGTGGTGAAACCAGAGGAATATGATCACCTTGGCTTCTTTTCATGGTCACTTGGAGCTTTTCTCCGTTTGCTGTTTGTTCGTGAAATATCTATGGACATACTGCATGGAATAAATTCATTTTGAGTGGGAAGCCATATTAGGAGATTTGCGACCAGGCTTAGTGGTGAAAAACCTTGACCACATTATCGAGTCAGTTTTACAGATAACGATTGACTTCTTTGCATTTTTGTTTATTTGTTGTTTAACGCCGCACTCAGCAATTTTCAAGCTATATGATGGCGATATGTAAATAACCGAGTCTGAACCAGACAATCCTGTGTCTCACATCATGACTATCTACACATATGACATACATGCATCAACCAAAACAGCGAGCCTGATTACCCGATCTTAGGACAAGCATGGGTTGTTGATGACCAATTTTAACCCGGATCTTCCCGGAGATTGGATTTTGTACTGGTTTACTTATCGTTGCTTCATGTAGGTGACATTATCACGATAATACCCTAAAGTTGTTAGCAGGTATGCTTCTTCTCCTAATGGTTCCCTGTACCCTCTGTATAGATTTAGCTTCAGATAAAGATGATATCATGTTAACACACGCTCAAAGTGTCTTTGTTCTGAAAGGCTTTTTTCCACAGATGGCCCAACAGCTTCATCACGACCACAGCTTCAGAGCGGTATAATCTTACAAGAGATGCCATACTGGACGTTTGACACTGTAATGAATTGATGTACTTGATGTAATTGAAAACAACTATCCGCGTGGGTAATATCTAGTGGGTAAACTTAATTTAAATGAGCAATAGCTGGAATCGGTCGTTAACTATTTTGCACCGATGATTTCTAATCTGCGATATGTACATGGTGCCTACGTACTTGACTTATAACCTTTGGAACATTCAAACAGTGAGTGAATATGGTTTTACGCCGTTTGTAGCAATATTCCAGCAATATCACGACGGGGGACACAAGAAATGGGCCTCACACATTGTACCCATGTCGGGAATCGAACCCTGGTCTTCGGCGTACGAGCGAACGCTTTAACCACCAGGCTACCCGACCGCCCCCGATTCAAAAAGCAAAGTATTAACCAACTCGCATGACCCAGTCTATATCTGATATTTTATTTGTTTGATTGAAAGTGATAAGTGACATATTAGGTTGATGATATCTAGGGACACGTTGAACATAGATCTACGCTCGATGTCCCAACTTGTATCTTCAGCTCTTAATGATTACATCTTTGTCGTCACAGTATCGGAGTAAGACGGCGGGTTGTCGGAACCCTGGAATGCTGGATTGTCCTTCCCAACGTCCCCTTCAGAGGCCTCCTTGGCGTAGCGCCCTGTTCTGTTCTCCGGCAGTGAGGGCCCCCACTCGGGCAGCGGGGAGGACAGCTTCCGCAGGAGCTGTAGCAGGAGGAGGAGAATGGTATTCTCTTCAGCTGGTTACATGCATAGGACATGCATAGTACAGGATGTAATTGTCACTTGATTTGATTATGTAATAGAAAAGGTAGTTAATAAACAGAGTTACTGACATATGTCTAATATATTGATTTAGTAGTTTAAGTTATAACATACTATATTTTCTGGAAAAGAATCTGTGGAGATAAAATAATTGTTATTGTTAAAAGTTAGTGAGTTACAATTTAACGTCGCATCGGCATTATTTCAGCCATATAGCGATTGTTGTTAAGAAAGCGTACGTGTCGATACTTCTACTTAATATGACACTGGACGGTGGGGTAGTCTAGTGGTTAAAGTGTTCGCTAGTCCGGGATCGATTCCCGACATGGGTACAATGTGTGAAGCCCATTTCCAGTGTCCCTGCGCCGTGATATTGCTGGAATGTTGCTGTAGGCGGCGTAAAAGCATACTCACTCACTAATATTGCACTACAAAGCAAGGTGCAACGGTAAAATATAAAACGTCAACGGCAGAGAATAACCAGTCTCGATTATCCAACGAAACAGATTCCATTGGGTGTAAAAGGCAAAATAGCCATGAAAATTATATGAATGTTTCTCTGAAAATCAGTGATGACAGTGATGACAGGTGTTCGCGAAAAGGGTACACATGTTCCGCCCTACCACGTGTTTAATGGGGACCACGTTTTAATTGGGGGCGTATCGACGTGACAAGGGAAAAACAGCATGCTTGATGTGGAAACGTTTGATATAGGACAATAACAAGCACCTCAAAATACCTGTTAATACAATGGAGACACAGTAAGCATGTAATACCATACGTACATCCAAGCCGCCATTGCGGAGGAAGTGGAAGAAGAACCAGCCGGGGATAGCGCTGATGGGGAAGAGAGCCACCAGCCAGTAGAGGGCCTGCGCCCAGTCCGGGTAGATGTAGCTACCAGAAGCCATAGGAGTGTACTGGATAGACTTGAACACTATGACTGTCTGTAACATAGGGTATACCGGGTGGACTTGAACATTATCACTGTCATAGTGTAACGAAAACACTACTCACAAACAACACGATGGCAGCATAGTCTAAGTTAAAACCTACTCACAAACAACACGATGGCAGCATAGTCTAAGTTAAAAACTACTCACAAAAAACACGAGTGCGCCATTGCCTAAAGTAAACATTACTCACAAACAACACGATGACACTATAGTCTAAGGTAAACACTACTCATAAACAACACGATGGCACCATAGTCTAAGGTAAAAAAACTACTCACTAACAACACGATGGCACCATAGTCTAAGGTAAAAACTACTCATAAACAACACAATGGCGCCATACTCAACGCAGACACTCACAAACAACACGATGACGTCAATTCCCAACGTAAACACAACACACAAACAACACGATGACGTCATAGTGTTACGTGAAAACTATTTACAAACAACACGATGGCGCCATGATCTAACGCAGACACTCACAAACAACACGATGACGTCATAGTCCAGTGTGAACACTATTCACAAACACGATGACGTCATCGCCTAACGTAAACACTACTCATTAACAACGCGATGACGTCTTTGCCTAACGTGAACACTACTCACAAACAACACGATGACATCATCGCCTAACTCAAACACTTTTCACAAAGAACACGACGGCGCCATGGTTTAACGTGAAACCTGCTCACAAACAACAAGACGGCGCCATAATCTAACGCGGACACTCACAAACAACATGATGGCGCCATAATCTAACGCAGACACTCACAAACAACACGATGGCGCCATAATCTAACGCAGACACTCACAAACAACATGATGGCGCCATAATCTAACGCAGACACTCACAAACAACAAGACGGGGCCATAATCTAACGCAGACACTCACAAACAACAAGACGGGACCATAATCTAACGCAGACACTCACAAACAACAAGACGGGGCCATAATCTAACGCAGACACTCACAAACAACAAGACGGGGCCATAATTTAACGCAGATACTCACAAACAACAAGACGGGGCCATAATCTAACGCACACACTCACAAACAACAAGACGGGGCCATAATCTAACGCAGACACTCACAAACAACAAGACGGGGCCATAATCTAACGCAGACACTCACAAACAACAAGACGGGGCCATAATCTAACGCAGACACTCACAAACAACAAGACGGGGCCATAATCTAACGCACACACTCACAAACAACAAGACGGGGCCATAATCTAACGCAGACACTCACAAACAACAAGACGGGGCCATAATCTAACGCAGACACTCACAAACAACAAGACGGGGCCATAATTTAACGCAGATACTCACAAACAACAAGACGGGGCCATAATCTAACGCACACACTCACAAACAACAAGACGGGGCCATAATCTAACGCAGACACTCACAAACAACAAGACGGGGCCATAATCTAACGCAGACACTCACAAACAACAAGACGGGGCCATAATCTAACGCAGACACTCACAAACAACAAGACGGGGCCATAATCTAACGCACACACTCACAAACAACAAGACGGGGCCATAATCTAACGCAGACACTCACAAACAACAAGACGGGGCCATAATCTAACGCAGACACTCACAAACAACAAGACGGGGCCATAATTTAACGCAGATACTCACAAACAACAAGACGGGGCCATAATCTAACGCAGACACTCACAAACAACATGATGGCGCCATAATCTAACGCAGACACTCACAAACAACAAGACGGGGCCATAATCTAACGCAGACACTCACAAACAACACGATGGCGCCATAATCTAACGCAGACACTCACAAATAACATTGCGGGGGTCATGAAGCACCAGCAGAACCTCCAGTAGACGGCCGGACGTTTCCCCAGCATCATGGAGATGTCCTCGGAGAACCGACTGTAACCTGCAGCAGGAATGTATTGACACTCAAATATCACATAACCTCAGAGTTAAAAGCCATATTAAAATTACTATTATCCCTTGTATTCAATTCTACACGTATGTTCTAAATATGATAAGCAATACATCGGAGCTATGTTTGATCCTAGTAGCGTCCACCGATTGTTGTTCCATAAGTGTATGTCGTTATACATCATCTTGATATTCTTCACTACCCGTGAAGATCCGGAGTAGAATTGGTCTTCAGCAACCCATGCTTGCCGTAGAAGGCGAATATGCTTGTCGTAAGATGTGACTAACGGGATCGGGTGGTCAGACTCGGTCACTTGGTAGATGCATGTAATCGAACCCCAATTGCGTGTATCGATGCTCATGATATCTATCACATAATTGTCTGGTCCACACTCGATTATTAACAGACCGCCGTCATGTAGCTGGAATATTGCTGATAACGGCGTCCAACAACAAACTATAAAATCCCCCAAAACAAATGATATGCTTCACACAAAAGGCACTGTTGTTCAGAGCGGCGGAGTTGCCATATGACCGCCTCCGTAGTGGAGGGTCCGCCCGGAGAGCGGAAGGTTCGGGGTTCTATCCCCGGCCGCGTCTACCAAAAGACGTTAAAAGATGGAACTTGTTACCCTGTCTGGCGCTCGGCATTAAGAGGCTAAAACAAGGACTGATCGCCTCGGAGTAAGTGTACTGTGTCTGAGTGGGGTATTCATGTTAAACTGCGGCATGGTATCTTAGTGTGCTGGCACTATAAATCAGCATCCACACACACACGCACCCACGCACGCACGCACGCACGCACACACGCACACACGCACGACGTTAAACCCCATTTCACCTCACCTCACTTACCATAAATGAAGTTGAGGGCGAAACACTCGAGAAGACCGACAAACAACAGGGGGAAACCGCTGACGGCAGTGTCTATCAGGTCCAGTAGATATATGCCACCCTACACAACACAGTATTAACGTGGAAGTCATGTTTATGATCCATTTAACCGTGAAAGTTACAAGGCAAATGATAACATGTTTATGTTTGATAATCAACAATCAAGTTTTGAAGATGAAATAAGAATACATGTATATCACATGTCGTTTGTGGTCAGATGCAGTGAAAATCAATAAAGGGGGAAAAGGAAACCTGCTCTATAAATTGAGGGGGGCAGTTTCCCTCTGGTAAATGCAGACGCTCTTTCGTGCGACATTATTCTCTCGTTGGCTGCAGACACTCTTCTTGCAACCAAGGTCCCTTGCTAGTTGCTGATACCCTTCTTGGAACTAAGGCCCCTTGCTAGTTGCTGATACTCTTCTTGCAACCAAGGTCCCTTGCTAGTTGCTGATACCCTTCTTGGAACTAAGGCCCCTTGCTAGTTGCTGATACTCTTCTTGCAACCAAGGTCCCCTGCCAGTTGCAGATACCCTTTTTGGAACTAAGGCCCCTTGCTAGTTGCAGATACTCTTCTTGCAACCAAGGTCCCTTGCTAGTTGCAGATACTCTTCTTGGAACCAAGATCCCTTGCTAGTTGCTGATACTCTTCTTGGAACCAAGGCCCCTTGCTAGTTGCTGATACTCTTCTTGGAACCAAGGTCCCTTGCTAGTTGCAGATACTCTTCTTGGAAGCACTGTCCCTCGCCAGAGGCAGACACTCTTCGGTAGGCAGTTTCACCCTGCTAGATGCAGATACACTTTTGGGGGACATTATCCTCTTGTTAGTTGCAGACACTCTTCTTGGAAGCAGTGTCCCTTGCTAGATGCAGATATTCTTTATGGAAGCTGTCTCCCCTTCCTCGATGCAGACGCTTTTCTCGGAAGAAATGTCCCTCGCCAGATGCAGACTCTCTTCGGTAGGCAGTTCGTTGCAGATATTGTTCTTGCAAGCAGCGTACCTTGCTAGTTTCAGATACTCTTCTTGGAAGCAATGACCCTTGCTGGTTGCAGACGCTCTTTTCGGAACATTATGCTCTCGCTAGTTGCAGATATTGTTCCTGGAAGCATTGTCCCTTGTTAGTTTCATACTCTCTTCTTGGAAGCAGTGACCCTCGCCAGATGCAGATACTGTTCTTGGAAGCAGTTTCCCTTGATAGTTTCATACTCTCTTCTTGGAAGCAGTGTCCCATGCCAAATGCAGATACTGTTCTTGGAAGCAGTTTCCCTTGATAGTTTCAGACTCTCTTCTTGGAAGCAGTGTCTTTCGCCAGATGAAGACACTCTTCAGTAAGCAACATCCTCTCTGCTAAATGCAGCCGCTCTGCAGGAGGAAAAAGGACAGTAGACCATATTTATTATGCATTCTTGAAAGTACTCACGTTTGTAGTCATAGGCAAAGCCATGAGGTAGAAGCCGACACACAGGGACACCCGGAAGTAGGTGGAGTTCCGAAAGTTCTTCCGTAGGATCCAGTCGTACTCGTCAGAGATGGAGGAGATCACCGTCTCTATGATGGAGAACTGAAACAAGGGGATGAGGCTGGTGACGCCAATAACTCATGTCCTTGGGTGAGATCAAGCAATGAAATTGCATCACAATCCTTTGCAGACCACTGTGCCGTCATCGGTTACTATCAAAATCAAATGACATCACCGTTCTCTTTGCCACTGAAGCCGGTCAGATGTATATTTTACACACTAGACACTGGTTATTTAAGAAAATAGTTTGCTCATATGCAGTGTACGAAAGTATAGTTTTGCCCCGAACGTTTGTGACGTTCATTGGTACATTCAAGTAACCAGGATTTGTCACCATTGGTACATTTGAGTAACCAGGATTTGTCACCATGGACGGCACTTTGTACGAGTGCAGGGTTGTCTGAACGAGTTGTGTCTCGTCCATCACAGCTGATCATTTCACTCTTACAGCTTAAATATTGTTCCATGTATATTTCACCAATCGTTAATTGGTGTGGATGCCCATTTTGGTTGACAAGAATGACAGAACAATGTTACCAAGGATACGTTAGATCAGTGTAATGACGTTAGCCTTTAATACGTAACTAACAAAGTGTATTTTATCGCAGGATAAAGTACTGTCGGAGGCTTTGATCTTTCAGCGAAACTTCTTAGAGTTGTTTATAAACTTAGAAGGTTGGCAGAATGATTTTGGATGATAAAAAGAGTCACATCCTCGCGTCTTTTTATACAGAACATATACACATTCGTAGATCAAAGTTTAAGACCCACTCAGGTGACATTCTCTATTTCTCATCTAATGTGACATCTACGTCCAAGTTGGCCGGTGGGGTAGCCTAGTGGTTAAAGCGTTCTCTCGTGACGCTGAACCTGGTTACAATATGTGAAGCCCCTTTCTGATGTCCCCCGCCGTGACATTGCTGGGATATTCCTAAAAGCGGCGTAAAACCGTACCGACTCTCTCACTCACTCCACGTTCACGTCCACATAGCTATAAAGAAGGAACTGACCTGAGAGCTGAACCCGATGATGAGCATCATGAAGAAGAACAGGATGGCCCAGACGGTGGGGGCCGGCATGCTGGCCAGGGCCTCTGGGTACGCGATGAAGGCCAGACCTGGACCTTAAAATAGCACTAAAGGATCACGCGTGGCATAATCATGTGTTCAGATACTGTGAACAAGCCTATACGTTTTCCTTGTCCCCTAATTTAAACGCCTAAACATGTTTGTATCTCAAACAAGTTAAGAATTGAGTTAGTAACATCATCATGTGTATAATCTAAATATGTTGAGGATCCAAATATATATGTTCATAAACAAAAGAACACAAATATTTTACAGTGAACAAACACTCATTTCACCATATACTGAATACCTCTCACACATGCATCAAATACCTACCTCATCTACAGCAAACAGCCACCTCAAATACAGTGACATCGATCACCTACCTCGCCTAAAGTGAAAATCTATCTCGCCTACAATTAAAACCTATCTCGCCTACAATGAAAACCTTTCTCGCCTACAATGAAAACCTTTCTCGCCTACAATGAAAACCTACCTCGCCTACAATGAAAACCTTTCTCGCCTACAATGAAAACCTTTCTCGCCTACAATGAAAACCTATCTCGCCTACAATGAAAACCTATCTCGCCTACAATGAAAACCTATCTCGCCTACAATGAAAACCTTTCTCGACTACAATGAAAACCTACCTCGCCTACAATTAAAACCTATCTCGCCTACAATGAAAACCTACATTATCACAGCAAGCATCTACTTTGTACCTCATCTACATCTAACAGACGAATCGCCTACAGTGGACGCCGACATCATCTAAAACACTTACATCGTCAACAGCAAAAACCTACCTCCAGCGGCAACATCGGCTACGCTGACCTGTCTGTTGTACGCCATGAACCCCAGCACAGTGAACACCACAAATCCCGAGAAGAAGCTCGTGAGACAATCCACGAGAGGAACAATCAAGGCGTCCCTGGGATTGGAAAAAAACGGTTGTCAAGTGAACGAAATGAACGCCATAACAACTGGAGAGTACAACACGAGAGAAGGTTTGATAAACAGTCATACATCTTGCGAGAGACTCTTACTATGCTGGCCCCGAGCCAAAAATGCGACACAATGTGATTAATTAATAATGATGAAAAAATATTATTTTACCTGAGACAGAAGTTGTCGAACTTGTTGAAGCTTGACATGAGCACCAGGCCCCCGGAACACGCACTAAGGGAGTAGAACACCTGAGTGGCTGCGTCACTCCACACCTGGAAGCAGCCATAGTCAGAGGATGAAGATGAACAATGGCGTTACATTTTACAATATAAATAAAACCACAGTCAGAGGCTTGGAAAATAACAGAATATACGTACATTTGCACATGTTTTGTGGAGACAGGACACTGATTATATATAGCTAAAAGTAATCAACGTGTTTGTGATAAACAAAGTATGGCACTTTGTTAGCCAACACGTATTGTCGTTTGTTATTTCAAATCCAGTATGCACTAATAACTTAATTACATTTTTTATGTTGGTATTTAACATTTTATATTCATGAAAAGCAATTTTTCAGCAGACACCACAATGTCTCACGCCTAGGTGTAATATATTATTTCATATCGTTATCAATATTGATAAACTTTATTCAGAAGCATCCTTGTAGCCAAATAGATGCCTTTGATGTAATTACGCAATGGTAGATGCTGATGTCATAGTCATTGTTGACGTCATATGGACACTGTCAGCGTCTCAGCACAATTCTTGACCTAAACATCAGACCCTAACGTCAATTACTATGAAGCGTGGATAACAAATATATTATTGTGTTTGTGTGTGAATCATCTCATAAAATATAACAAATTCCGACACATATACTCGTGTCATAACCATGATACACCGAACGAGATGAAGAGAGTTGGGGAATATATTTAACTACAGACATCTAGAACATTCAAAGGTCCTGATTAGAAATGTATGGAATCAATCCAAGCATGGGTAGAGAACCATCTTTAGCTACGCGAAGCTCGTTTAAACACGAGTGTTTCGTCCCCTCCAATCTGACACGTGCGTACAAGACAAAGTCCAACTACATGCATATGCCGTAGTTTAGTTAACCTACAATAACCCAATATCCAACGTTGCTTATTTGTTGGTTTGTTGCTTTTGATTAATATCGTAGAATGTTTGATTGTTTGTTGTTTAACGCCACACTCAGCAATATTCCAGCTATATGACGGCGGTCTGTAAATAATCGAGTCTGGACCAGACAATCCTGTGATTGACATCATGAGCATCGATCCACGCAATGGGGGTACGATGACATGCATCAACCAAGTCATCGAGCCTGACCACCTGATCCCGTTAGTCGCATCTTACGACAAGCATAGTCGCCTTTGACAACAAGCATGGGTTGCTGAAGACCTTTTCTACCGCGGAACTTCACGGGTTATAACTTAGAATGAATATATACTGAACCATTGAATATTTTGAGGGATATTGCTTTGTAGTGAAGATTGAGCACACAGTTTCATAAATATATTCATGATCCCTAACCTTTTTGTTCAGTATAATATTGGTTACTTATAAGGTCATGGCTTTGGGTGTTGTTGTAACTTGTTCCTTAATTTGGCATCCAGGCAACTAATGTTCACTGGTATTGTGACGGAGATGGAGCGGCGTTGCTAATTGCTTCACCATATATGCAAGGACACAGTCAGGTGCCATTAGAAAAAGAACACTACACCACCTTGTGTAAACATTCTGAGTGAGTGAGTGAGTATGGTTTTACGCCGCTTTTAGCAATATTCCAGCAATATCACGGCGGGGGACACCAGAAATGGGCTTCACACATTGTACCCATGTCGGGAATCGAACCCGGTTTTTCGGCGTGACGAGCGAACGCTTTAACCACTAGGCTACCCGACAGCCCCGTAAACATTCTGAACCAACACTCGTGTTTCCCATTCCCGGCGATAAACTACGCATTAACAAAGGGGAGAGTATGTGCTGTTGAACGCCGCAGACTGTAATATACAGCTATATCTTGGGAATATATATGAACAACGATCCCCGCCATCAAGCAAGACGAGTACAACCATGTCCCCGAGTCTGGACACCCGATACAAGGGCGGGGCGGGAGGGAGAGGGTGGGGCTTTGGCATTTATTTTTTTATATAATTTTTATATTACGAATTTCATAGACAAACATCAGATCCATGTTTCTATACTCATGTTTCATCAAGGTCTCACGAGAACAGACTTTTAGTGAAAGTGAAAGACTACTACACAGAAAACCATCAAGAGTACAATCTCAATAAATTTTGATCACACTTTCGTCTGCCCAGATCGACCAAATACACAACTAGGAAGCAAATTTCTTGAGGCATCAAAGTAACCAGGTATTCTCTTTTGAGGAAAATGGACAGAATTGGCTACTGTGCTGTCTAGAACTCTAACAGCCTTGCATGGGAACACAGTGTCAGCTTTAAAGGATGAGGACCATCCCTTTGCCACTGTTAAGAGGTAGGCAGCGCAGTTCAAAAGGGGAAGATATGGACTGGACGATGATCCTAGATCAGGAGTGAGTGGGAGAGTGAGTATGGTTTTACGCCGCTTTTAACAATATTCCAGCAATATCACGGCGGGGGACACCAGAAATGGGCTTCACACATTGTACCCATGTCGGGAATCGAGCCCGGGTCTTCGGCGTGACGAGCGAACGCTTTAACCACTAGGCTACCCGACCGCCCCTTCCTAGATCAGGAAGACCTTCAACTGCCACCTCTAAGAAAAATACATGATATGGTTATGGATGACGATGACCCACCACACATCACACAGTCAGTACTGTAGGCATCTCTCTTGAGAGAGTTGAGGACATTCTGAGGAATGAACAAAAGTTTCAGGACGCTGGGTTCCAAGGCCTCTGACGCCTGATCAGAAACGCTCCAGGATCATCATCTCTCGTGAGAATTTACTTCCTTTATTTGAGCAGACCAAGCTGATAGTGTTGAGCAATTTGTAATCATGGATGAATCATGGGTTCATCACTGAACAGTAGTCAAAGCCGTGGAAACATCCGAAGAATGCATAGTTTGTTCCACCTTAATGCCTTCGCTTTTCTGGAATTCCAAGGGAATCCTACTGGTGAACTAGCACCCGAGGGTATGACCATTAATGGCTCATTCTATGCTAATCTGCTTTTGCAACTGAGCGATAGTATCAAGGCTGAACGTGGTGGAATATTCATTAAATGACACCAGTATAATGCAAGTCTGTTGTCGCAATGGCTGCAATGCCTGACTGTGGCTTTGAACTAATTAAACATCATCCGTATTCACCAGATTTGGCACCGTCAGAGTTCCACCTCTTCCCAAACTTGAAGAAAGAACAGTCTGACAAGAGTCATGAAAATGATGATGACGTCTTGCTGCTGTGGAGGACTTTTCACACCACGAGGAGAGGGCTTTCTACACCAGTGTGATCCAGGCACTCTAGCATCATTGGCAGGAGTGTGTGGGCCTCGTAGAAGAATATGTTGAGAAATGATTAGCAACTTCATCAACCCATCACAGTTAGGCTTGGAAGGTTTCAGTCACCCTCGTACGAGACGCAAAACCTCTCAGTTTTAATGATTGGTAGCGACTGCTACCAGAGGCTGCTGATGGTTTTGTCGAGTGGCCAACCATTCACATAGTTGTTATACTCCAGCTATTGTAATCGCGTAATTCCGATTTGGTTGCATCTTATGATAATCAAGAAGGAGTCTCGTCTAGTCAGTAAAACCTTCGATAGTCACGCCGAAGGTTGTAGTTCGAGTCATCGGTACAGTGAGTGAAGCTTATTTCTGGTGCCCCCCGTACCGCCGTGATAGTGCTGGATTATTATTAAAAGCGGCTCACTCGCTCGGGAAGGACCTCGCAACAACATCTGAATCGGCATCTGTCACACAAGCCTGATATCGTGTTCCTTACATCCTCTGAGCTGTATATCCCCCTACAAAAGAAATCACCTCTGAGTCAGCCAGCCGGTTCCAGTCAGGTGTCAGGTAGAACTTGATGCCATCTGAGGCGCCATCTAGCGTTGCACCCCGGATGAGCAGCGCCGTCAGCAGAAGATACGGGAAGGTGGCGGTGAAGTAGACGACCTGCAACATACACCATTCTCAGTCAGGCTAGGACATGGAACACACCAGTCACAGTCAGGCTAGGACAGGGAACACACCAGTCACGGTCAGGTTAGGACAGGGAACACACCAGTCACAGTCAGGCTAGGACAGGGAACACACCAGTCACGGTCAGGTTAGGACAGGGAACACACCAGTCACGGTCAGGCTAGGACAGGGAATTTACCAGTCACAGTCAGACTAGGACAGGGAACACACCAGTCACAGTCAGGCTAGGACAGGGAACACACCAGTCACAGTCAGGCTAGGACAGGGAACACACCAGTCACGGCCAGGCTAGGACAGGGAACACATAAGTCACGGTCAGGCTAGGACATGGAACACACAAGTCATAGTCAGGCTAGGACAGGGAACACACCAGTCACAGTCAGGCTAGGACAGGGAACACACCAGTCACGGTCAGGCTAGGACAGGGAACATACCAGTCACAATCAGGCTAGGACAGGGAACACACCAGTCACAATCAGGCTAGGACAGGGAACACACCGGTCACAGTCATGCTAGGACAGGGAACACTCCAGTCACAATCAGGCTAGGACAGGGAACACACCAGTCACGGTCAGGCTAGGACAGGGAACACACAAGTCACGGTCAGGTTAGGACAGGGAACACACCAGTCAGAGTCAGGCTAGGACAGGGAACACATCAGTCACGGTCAGGCTAGGACAGGGAACACACCAGTCACGGCCAGGCTAGGACATGGAACACACAAGTCATAGTCAGGCTAGGACAGGGAACACACCAGTCACATTCAGGCTAGGACAGGGAACACACCAGTCACAGTCAGGCTAGGACAGGGAACACACCAGTCACGGTCAGGTTAGGACAGGGAACACACAAGTCATAGTCAGGCTAGGACAGGGAACACACAAGTCACAGTCAGGCTAGGACAGGGAACACACCAGTCACGGTCAGGTCAGGACAGGGAACACACCAGTCACAGTCAGGCTAGGACAGGGAACACACCAGTCACGGTCAGGTTAGGACAGGGAACTCACAAGTCACAGTCAGGCTAGGACAGGGAACACACAAGTCACGGTCAGGTTAGGACAGGGAACACACCAGTCACAGTCAGGCTAGGACAGGGAACACACCAGTCACGGTCAGGTTAGGACAGGGAACTCACAAGTCACAGTCAGGCTAGGACAGGGAACACACCAGTCACGGTCAGGCTAGGACAGGGAACACGCCAGTCACGGTCAGGCTAGGACAGAGAACACACCAGTCACGGTCAGGCTAGGACATGGAACACACCAGTCACGGTCAGGCTAGGACAGGGAACATACCAGTCACAGTCAGGCTAGGACAGGGAACACACCAGTCACAGTCAGGCTAGGACAGGGAAAATACCAGTCACGGTCAGGCTAGGACAGGGAACACACAAGTCACAGTCAGGCTAGGACAGGGAACACACAAGTCACGGTCAGGCTAGGACAGGGAACACACAAGTCACGGTCAGGCTAGGACATGGAACACACAAGTCACAGTCAGGCTAGGACAGGGAACACACCAGTCACAGTCAGGCTAGGACAGGGAACACACAAGTCACGGTCAGGTTAGAACAGGGAACACACAGGTCACGGTCAGGCTAGGACAGGGAACACACCAGTCACGGTCAGGTTAGGACAGGGAACACACAAGTCACGGTCAGGCTAGGACAGGGGGCATACCAGTCACGGTCAGGCAAGGACAGGGAATACACCAACCACAATTAGGCTAGGAAGGGGAACACACCAGTCATAGTGCGGCTAGGACAAGGAATGGTCCAGGATTGAATGTGATATTATAAGAAGCAGTGCAATATAAATTTATCTTAAGAGGTTGTAACCTAGTCCTTACCATGGCACTAATATCAACACTCGCTCGTCTCGTGCAGCGGTTAACCCGATCAAGACTCGATGTTCCCTAGTGTCCACAGTTATAAAACACTTATATCACCCGAGCGTTTGGTCATAAGTCACCTTAATCATAATAGTAGCAGACAGTAACTATTTGAATTCACGAAGTAACTGTTTGAATTCACGAAGGACAGTCAAACAATATTTCATCATAATAGCTTCTAAGTAGCTTCTAAGTAGACTGTGTGCACCTACCTTCCCTAGTGACTTGATCCCCTTGATGAGTACTCCGAAGACAACGAACCACGCCAACAGCAGGCACAGGGCAAGACGCCAGTTGAGGGCACCCATGTTCTCCATCCCATCGGACATTTGGAGCACGTAGTTCCTGAAACACCAGGTGTCACGGCATTTAACATTCATATATAAACATCTGCAGCATGTGCTCCCTGAAACACCAGGTGTCACGGCATTTAACATTCATATATAAACATCTGCGGCATGTGCTCCCTGAAACACCAGGTGTCACGGCATTTAACATTCATATATAAACATCTGCAGGACGTGCTTCCTGAAACACCAGGTGTCACGACATTTAACATTCATATATAAACATCTGCAGCACGTAGTTCCTGAAACACCAGGTGTCACGACATTTAACATTCATATATAAACATCTGCAGCTCGTAGTTCCTGAAACACCAGGTGTCACGGTATTTAACATTCATATATAAACATCTGCAGCATGTGCTCCCTGAAACACCAGGTGTCACGGCATTTAACATTCATATATAAACATCTGCAGCATGTGCTCCCTGAAACACCAGGTGTCACGGCATTTAACATTCATATATAAACATCTGCAGCACGTAGTTCCTGAAACACCAGGTGTCACGGCATTTAACATTCATGTATAAACATCTGCAGCACGTAGTTCCTGAAACACCAGGTGTCACGGCATTTAACATTCATATATAAACATCTGCAGCACGTAGTTCCTGAAACACCAGGTGTCACGGCATTTAACATTCATATATAAACATCTGCAGCATGTGCTCCCTGAAACACCAGGTGTCACGGCATTTAACATTCATATATAAACATCTGCAGCATGTGCTCCCTGAAACACCAGGTGTCACGGCATTTAACATTCATATATAAACATCTGCAGGACGTGCTTCCTGAAACACCAGGTGTCACGACATTTAACATTCATATATAAACATCTGCAGCACGTAGTTCCTGAAACACCAGGTGTCACGGCATTTAACATTCATATATAAACATCTGCATCATGTGCTCCCTGAAACACCAGGTGTCACGGCATTTAACATTCATGTATAAACATCTGCAGCATGTGCTCCCTGAAAACACCTGGTGTCGCACTGCACATTTACCGATTAAAACAGGCAACGTTTACTGCCTTTTATGTAAAACAAAGTCTTGGACATCATTTAGCACTGCCAGTCTTTGCGTGGTTATTTATTGGTACATAAGATTTCACCATGAGATAGAAATCCAATTCTCTTCATCTCTGCAAAATGGCGACGCCATTGATAGTCCAGGTGAATAAAACTGCAAACAGTTTCAGTTCGTACAGCTCCACAAGTTGTAGTGAATAGTTATGTGTGCATGTTCTATGTGATACTCGCGGAATACGCAGAAAACATGCCTCCAAAGACCTCTGTTACTTACAGAAAGTAGTCTTCACTGGCTGATATCGTGGCTGCAACAGCGAAACAACATCAACGATAGCTAAATTTGTTTAAACATTAACCTTAATCACAGACAGTTAATTAAGTCTTTAAAGGCTTTTAGAATTGATACACATATGGAAGATGATTTATGGATGCCAACTTCTATTTTGTAAGGAACACAACGTTTCGGAGTATATGCTTACTCCTTCATCAGGTTGGCTTCCATTGTCTATTATAGCGCCAATTATCAGTTGGCTTCCCTTGTTAAGTTTCCACCTTATGTTTTGTTATTGCTTTTGTTGTTCTTACACATACAAAAAAATGGTCTCTGTCTCATAACATTTATTCACCCGATGAAGGAGTAAGCATATAGTCCGAAACGTTGTGTTCCTCATGATAAAGAAGTTGAACATCCATAAATTCTCTTCCTTAGCCAGTTAATTGTAAAATTTATTCATCCTCATTTATCAAACTTTAATAGTAACAGACATTACAGCTCCGAACAATAAGCTTGTATAAGCAATAAGCCAACAGAAATAATCAGAACACTATAGGTTAATAGATAAAAGCAGAGACTTGTATTCTTTGACGTACAAGATATATTTAACTAGGTAAAGTAGAAAACTCACAGCCGTTGGAAATGGTGAGATTAGTGTGGTTTGTGACCACATTGCTATCAACGACGCAGTTGGGACTGTTCCAGTCATTGTCACAGTGAGACCAGGGCAGCGTTCCCTGCATCGAGGAGAAGAAGTAGAAGAAGCAGTAGCCGATGATGACGTTGTAGTAGACGCCGATGAGCCCCGACACGATCACCATGCTGTAGCCGAGCCCTGCAGTGAAGGACGTCACAGATACAATCAAACACCGTTGTGGCGAACATTCGGTTGTCTCGAAGTAAATTGCTTGGTCCCTGCGTATTTCCTCCTTATTCATCATTTCACGGTTGTGTCGAACTTCGAATAACTCAAAGTATTTACGTATGCCCCTTCAACCTCGACACTACGGTGTATGACTGAACCTTCTATATTCAAAACAGTGGGGCAGTGGGGTAGCCTTGTGGTAAATCCGTTCGCTCGTCACGCCGAAGGCCCGGGTTCGAATAAAACCCGTACAAGACAAGTTCTCAGTAGTGATCCTACCTTTAAACAGAGGGTTGATCTTCCAGATGGTGATGGGGCCAAGACTGGCGAACTGGCCGAATGACAGCTCCATGAAAAACAGAGGCATCCCCACAAACAGCTGCATGGTCCAGTAAGGGATGAGGAACGCACCTGTACAACATTTGCTTCTGAATTCTTTAAATGCACTCGTCGTAAAAAATCTCATTGAGAGACCAATCATGTTCAAATTTTTATCATAATATACTTCTGTGGTTAAAAGTTAAAGGTATGTTAAAAACTAAAGGTTTCTGTATTGTACCTCCGCCGTTCTTGAAGGCCAGGTAGGGGAACCTCCACACGTTGCCGAGGCCCACAGCGTAGCCGACACAGGTGAGGATGAACTCCAGCTTGCCGCCCCAGTTGCCGCGTTCCATCATTTCCTTCTCCGATACAGCATCAACTTCACCCTTTTCCGCTGTCGCCACATCTTTTGACTCATTATCTGACTTCTGGAAGTTTCAGTTTCATGAAGAACAGGACCGTTAATATTTGTATTGAACGGGAACCCAATTTTGACAATTGTCATGGCAAATACTTTTTTGAAATCAAAACCCAAATCAAAATCTTGTCTTGCATCAAAACAAGTAACAAAGCACAAAAGGCTCCCCCAGGGCCCCGGTAACGCTGATCTTGATGTTGGAATGTCCTTCAAAATAGTCTTATGATTATACACTCAATGTTCAACAACATCGTTGGGATGCCGGGTTTGAACATGTTTTAGTTAAGACCCGGTGCTCCTGCTTAATGTAGTAAGTTCAAAGTGTACCTCTTGAGAAACCCACAAAATCAGGGCGAATCTAGGATTCGAACCAACGATCATCAGATTCTGGCATACGTAAGGGATGCAACTCGAGAATGCAAATCAATACTATTGGTTCTAGACATAATCATAAAGGCATAGCATGATTTTAAAGGATGATGTATATCAGATGTAACGGGGTTCAACAAGACATACCTCGCGGCGATTCAGGGTAGAATGGTTTTCTATGAATCTATGCCCATTGCAGGAGCCGACGTTTGTATGACTGATTGTGTGTCATCGTGCCCGACATGCACCGTTGTTCTTGCTATCTACCGTTGGCTCGCCTGGCCCCGACTCGAACATTAACAGGCTGTCGTGATATAGCTGAAGTATTGCTGACTGCGACGTAAAACGACATTACCTCATTCTCCCACATACCTCCATTGTCGGTGACTGCGCCCTCCGCTGATTGCCGCACACCTGGGGATACAACACCTCTGGACTACGTTTTATGGTCTTATACCAGTCGCTGACCAAGATAGAGTTACCGACAGGTGTGGTGTTGCATATTTATTGCTCAGTCTAATTGTGGTCAAGGAATATGTCTGACGCCGGGATCCGCTATTGTTTTCAACTTACCCTTGCGCTGCTTGTTAGAATCTACGTTCATATGTAATTCAACCTTGCTCCTGTGTAATTGTATCTGCAGGCGTCACCCTCTACAATCCCTCGGGAGCTGGTTGTATTGATGTGAATTTAAATCCGGGCGGTTTGGCTGCACTCAGGTGCACTGTCCGGATTGCACTGGTGTCAACACTTCAGGGTGCACTGGTGTCAACATTTCAGGGTTGCACTGGTGTCAACATTTCAGGGTTGCACTGGTGTCAACACCTCAGGGTTGCACTAGTGTCAACATTTCAGGGTTGCACTGTGGTCAACATTTCAGTGTTGCACTGGTGTCAACATTACAGGGTTGCACTGGTGTCAACACTTCAGATTTGCACTGGTGTCAACATTTCAGGGTTGCACTGGTGTCAACATTACAGGGGTGCACTGGTGTCAACATTTCATTGTTGCACCGGTGTCAACATTACAGGGTTGCACTGGTGTCACTACTTCAGGGTTGCACTGGTGTCGACACTTAAGGGTTGCACTGGTGTCAACATTACAGGGTTGCACTGGTGTCAACATTACAGGGTTGCACTGGTGTCAACATTTCAGGGTTGCACTGGTGTCAACATTTCAGTGTTGCACTGGTGTCAACATTTCAGGGTTGCACTGGTGTCAACACTTCAGGGTGCACTGTGGTCAACATTTCAGGGTTGCACTGGTGTCAACATTTCAGTGTTGCACTGGTGTCGACACTTAAGGGTTGCACTGGTGTCAACATTACAGGGTTGCACTGGTGTCAATATTACAGGGTTGCACTGGTGTCAACATTTCAGTGTTGCACTGGTGTCGACACTTAAGGGTTGCACTGGTGTCAACATTACAGGGTTGCACTGGTGTCGACACTTCAGGGTTGCACTGGTGTCAACACTTCAGGGTTGCACTGGTGTCGACACTTAAGGGTTGCACTGTGGTCAACATTTCAAAGTTGCACTGGTGTCAACATTTCAGGGTTGCACTGGTGTCAGCACTTCAGGGTTGCACTGGTGTCAACATTACAGGGTTGCACTGGTGTCGACACTTCAGGGTTGCACTGGTGTCAACACTTCAGGGTTGCACTGGTGTCGACACTTAAGGGTTGCACTGGTGTCAATATTACAAGGTTGCACTGGTGTCGACACTTAAGGGTTGCACTGTGGTCAACATTTCAGGGTTGCACTGGTGTCAACATTTCAGGGTTGCACTGGTGTCGACACTTAAGGGTGGCACTGGTGTCAACACTTCAGGGTTGCATTGGTGTCGACACTTAAGGGTTGCACTGGTGTCAACATTACAGGGTTGCACTGGTGTCAACATTTCAGGGTTGCACTGGTGTCAACATTTCAGGGCTGCACTGGTGTCAACATTTCAGTGTTGCACTGGTGTCGACACTTAAGGGTGGCACTAGTGTCAACATTTCAGGGTTGCACTGGTGTCGACACTTAAGGGTTGCACTGGTGTCAACATTACAGGGTTGCACTGGTGTCATCACTTCAGGGTTGTACTGGTGTCGACACTTAAGGGTTGCACTGTGGTCAACATTTCAGGGTTGCACTGGTGTCAACATTTCAGGGGTGCAATGGTGTCAGCACTTCAGGGTTGCACTGGTGTCAACATTACAGGGTTGCACTGGTGTCGACACTTCAGGGTTGCACTGGTGTCAACACTTCAGGGTTGCACTGGTGTCAACATTACAGGGTTGCACTGGTGTCAACACTTCAGGGTTGCACTGGTGTCGACACTTAAGGGTTGCACTGTGGTCAACATTTCAGGGTTGCACTGTGGTCAACATTTCAGGGTTGCACTGGTGTCAACATTACAGGGTTGCACTGGTGTCGACACTTAAGGGTTGCACTGGTGTCAACATTACAGGGTTGCACTGGTGTCAACATTTCAGGGTTGCACTGGTGTCAACATTACAGGGTTGCACTGGTGTCAACATTACAGGGTTGCACTGGTGTCAACATTTCAGGGTTGCACTGGTGTCAACATTACAGGGTTGCACTGGTGTCAACATTTCAGTGTTGCACTGGTGTCAACATTTCAGGGTTGCACTGGTGTCAACATTACAGGGTTGCACTGGTGTCAACATTTCAGGGTTGCACTGGTGTCAACATTACAGGGTTGCACTGGTGTCAACATTTCAGGGTTGCACTGGTGTCAGCACTTCAGGGTTGCACTGGTGTCTACATTACAGGGTTGCACTGGTGTCGACACTTCAGGGTTGCACTGGTGTCAACACTTCAGGGTTGCACTGGTGTTAACACTTCAGGGTTGCACTGGTGTCGACACTTAAGGGTTGCACTGCGGTCAACATTTCAGGGTTGCCCAGGTGTCAACATTTCAGGGTTGCACTGGTGTCGACACTTAAGGGTTGCACTGGTGTCAACACTTCAGGGTTGCACTGGTGTCGACACTTAAGGGTTGCACTGGTGTCAACATTACAGGGTTGCACTGGTGTCAACATTACAGGGTTGCACTGGTGTCAACATTTCAGGGTTGCACTGGTGTCAACATTTCAGGGTTGCACTGGTGTCAGCACTTCAGGGTGGCACTGGTGTCATCATTACAGGGTTGCACTGGTGTCGACACTTCAGGGTTGCACTGGTGTCAACACTTCAGGGTTGCACTGGTGTCGACACTTAAGGGTTGCACTGTGGTCAACATTACAGGGTTGCACTGGTGTCAACACTTCAGGGTTCCACTGGTGTCGACACTTAAGGGTTGCACTGTGGTCAACATTTCAGGGTTGCACTGGTGTCAACATTTCAGGGGTGCAATGGTGTCAGCACTTCAGGGTTGCACTGGTGTCAACATTACAGGGTTGCACTGGTGTCGACACTTAAGGGTTGCACTGGTGTCAACACTTCAGGGTTCCACTGGTGTCGACACTTAAGGGTTGCACTGTGGTCAACATTTCAGGGTTGCACTGGTGTCAACATTTCAGGGGTGCAATGGTGTCAGCACTTCAGGGTTGCACTGGTGTCAACATTACAGGGTTGCACTGGTGTCGACACTTCAGGGTTGCACTGGTGTCAACACTTCAGGGTTGCACTGGTGTCGACACTTAAGGGTTGCACTGGTGTCAACATTACAGGGTTGCACTGGTGTCAACACTTCAGGGTTGCACTGGTGTCAGCACTTCAGGGTGGCACTGGTGTCATCATTACAGGGTTGCACTGGTGTCGACACTTCAGGGTTGCACTGGTGTCAACACTTCAGGGTTGCACTGGTGTCGACACTTAAGGGTTGCACTGTGGTCAACATTACAGGGTTGCACTGGTGTCAACACTTCAGGGTTCCACTGGTGTCGACACTTAAGGGTTGCACTGGTGTCAACATTTCAGGGTTGCACTGGTGTCAACATTTCAGGGGTGCAATGGTGTCAGCACTTCAGGGTTGCACTGGTGTCAACATTACAGGGTTGCACTGGTGTCGACACTTCAGGGTTGCACTGGTGTCAACACTTCAGGGTTGCACTGGTGTCGACACTTAAGGGTTGCACTGTGGTCAACATTTCAGGGTTGCACTGGTGTCAACATTTCAGGGGTGCAATGGTGTCAGCACTTCAGGGTTGCACTGGTGTCAACATTACAGGGTTGCACTGGTGTCGACACTTCAGGGTTGCACTGGTGTCAACACTTCAGGGTTGCACTGGTGTCGACACTTAAGGGTTGCACTGGTGTCAACATTACAGGGTTGCACTGGTGTCAACACTTCAGGGTTGCACTGGTGTCGACACTTAAGGGTTGCACTGTGGTCAACATTTCAGGGTTGCACTGGTGTCAACACTTCAGGGTTGCACTGGTGTCAACATTACAGGGTTGCACTGGTGTCAACACTTCAGGGTGCACTGGTGTCAACATTACAGGGTTGCACTGCTGTCAACACTTCAGGGTTGCACTGGTGTCGACACTTAAGGGTTGCACTGTGGTCAACATTTCAGGGTTGCACTGGTGTTGACACTTAAGGGTTGCACTGGTGTCAACATTTCAGGGTTGCACTGGTGTCGACACTTAAGGGTTGCACTGGTGTCAACATTACAGGGTTGCACTGGTGTCAACACTTCAGGGTTGCACTGTTGTCAATATTACAGGGTTGCACTGGTGTCAACACTTCAGGGTTGCACTGGTGTCGACACTTAAGGGTTGCACTGCGGTCAACATTTCAGGGTTGCCCAGGTGTCAACATTTCAGGGTTGCACTGGTGTCGACACTTAAGGGTTGCACTGGTGTCAACACTTCAGGGTTGCACTGGTGTCGACACTTAAGGGTTGCACTGGTGTCAACATTACAGGGTTGCACTGGTGTCAACATTACAGGGTTGCACTGGTGTCAACATTTCAGGGTTGCACTGGTGTCAACATTTCAGTGTTGCACTGGTGTCGACACTTAAGGGTGGCACTGGTGTCATCATTACAGGGTTGCACTGGTGTCGACACTTCAGGGTTGCACTGGTGTCAACACTTCAGGGTTGCACTAGTGTCGACACTTAAGGGTTGCACTGGTGTCAACATTACAGGGTTGCACTGGTGTCAACACTTCAGGGTTGCACTGGTGTCGACACTTAAGGGTTGCACTGTGGTCAACATTTCAGGGTTGCACTGGTGTCAACATTTCAGGGGTGCAATGGTGTCAGCACTTCAGGGTTGCACTGGTGTCAACATTACAGGGTTGCACTGGTGTCGACACTTCAGGGTTGCACTGGTGTCAACACTTCAGGGTTGCACTGGTGTCGACACTTAAGGGTTGCACTGTGGTCAACATTTCAGGGTTGAACTGTGGTCAACATTTCAGGGTTGCACTGGTGTCAACACTTCAGAGTTGCACTGGTGTCAACATTACAGGGTTGCACTGCTGTCAACACTTCAGGATTGCACTGGTGTCGACACTTAAGGGTTGCACTGTGGTCAACATTTCAGGGTTGCACT